ACTTCAACGCTACCCTTGGGCTAGGCTGTTGGCCTCACTGTCAGCTACAAAAGGGACGTCTCTTTCCCAAAATACTCACAGAGCTAATGGCAGCAGGACGGGAAACTTATTTTATTAGTAAACTGTCAGCATTTTCTGTAAACGTCATGGGGATATTGGATGTTTTTCTTGCTCAACTTGAATAACTGCATTAAAAAACTGAATTTGAATTGCTAAACTTGAATTTGAATTTATTAGTTTGAAACTGAATTCCAATACACTTAAAACTGAATGTGATATTATGAATCTAAACTGAAACTATTTGAGCCTCACAAAAAATTAAAGCCTTTGTGTGCTTTCACTTTCAGTTGTCTCAATTCAAATTCAGTTCTCTAAATTCAATTTCAAACCACAAAATTCAGTTTTAAGGTCACAGGCAGGTCAAGGTCCTTGAGGAAGAGCAGTCGAGTGCAGATGCACAGAGCGCTATTTCCTGCCATTATTCAAAATTGAAAATAAAGTTCTGAAAGGTTGAAACTAAGGGTTTGAAAACTCAAAATCTTACTTAAATTAAGATGTGCAAGCTTGCAAAATGTAAAAAAAATAAATAAATCTCAAGTCTCTAAACATTATGTTGTTTTTGAGTTTTCCTTCTTCAGAACAATTTTTCAGAGTTTCAAATTTGTCAGTGTTCTCCCACTGTATTAGTTTGTTTTCCAGGTTTGAAACCTTGTAAATGGTGATCTCAAAACTGGTGTGTGAATGTGTGTCACCAGCATCCCGAGTGTAAATGACACCTAGGCTTGTAGGTACCCAGCCTTTTAAGTTTAATACTTGCATATTGCAAACCAAAAGGAGAGAACAGAATCAAATGGTTGTATTTGTTGAAATGTGAATAGTTTTATTCATTGCACATTTTCAGCCCCAGTGCCATGGTTCTTTAGTTTGGATTTGCTGCACCTAAAAACATTTGACAGCTGAATCAGATTATTGTGAGTCAGTTTAGTTTTCAATAAATGCTAAAGTAGTTGTCTTTACATCCAAAGGTGTCTTTGAGGGTGAACTGATGAATGGCTACCCATCTGTTAATGATCATTGTTCATTCATTGTAGACAATAACAATGAACTCCAGGATGAAGCTGTCCACAAATATATATGTCTTCTTCTTTTCGTCCTCCTGTGAGTGATGACCACAGCATGCTGCCTAATTGTCTTCAGTGCTTTAGGCCATAAAAGAAAAAACAAAAACTGGTTGTTACTGGTTAATTACAGTAAAGTCAACTTTAAATTACTCAACTACCACACATAAAACATGGTTTAATAGAATAATCACAGTTAACAAAAGCATACATTTTGGATTAATAACTGCCGAGATTTGTCTGGTAGAGTCTCCATTGATAGTTTACTGTAAGTTAGGCCTGCATTTAACACAGCATAAATTAGCCTAGTGGCTAGCGGACTTTTCCTCTCCTCATAGCTTAACAAATTACATGTTATTTATACTATTTCTTACTCACCGCTGGTTCAGTTACTGCATGTCCCGACACAACACCACGGGTGACATCGCGCTGATGAACAAACCGCCCTGAGCTACTACCCGTTGCAGATTTCCTCTCCACATCCATGCACCGCTTGGAAGCCGTGCTTCCTGAACACATATCCTGTGCACGTCTGTCATTGGCGGAGCAGTCTGTCAATCCCTCTATCCAGTAAATATAACTTGTGATTGGACTGTACTTCAGCAGACAGCCAAGCATTGATCAAGAGCAGAAGGCCCTGCCTGCAGACCTTTTTTTAAGTTGCGAGGTTGCAAAGCTTCATTTTCGCTCAGTCTGAGTTTCAGAGTTTCAGAGCAGAGCTGCGTGACAACGCTGCCACAAATAACGTGAGTCGCAAACTCGCAACTGTGTAGATGTATCTCCGCAAAGTGGGTGTTGTAAACTCAGCTCTCAAAAATTGTTTGCAATAGGAGTGCAAATGTAATGTAATGTAATAAAGTTTCGCACTTTTGCACCTCAGTTTTCAGAGTTTCAAAACTTTTTTCACTTCATTTGCACACTAGTTTTCAGATCACCATTTACAAGGTTTCAAACCTGGAAAACAAACTAATACAGTGGGAGAACACTGACAAATTTGAAACTCTGAAAAATTGTTCTGAAGAAGGAGAACTCAAAAACAACATAATGTTTGCAGAGATATTATTATTTTTTTTACATTTTGCAAGCTTGCACATCTTAGTTTTCAATCTTGCAAGACTTTTTTTTAAGATTTTTAGTTTTCAAACACTTAGTTTCAACCTTTCAAAACTTTATTTTCAGTTTTGAATCATGGCAGGATATTAATCCCATACACGGGCAGCCTGTTGCCCCGGCTGTGTGTAAGTTATCTCCTAAAGCCCACACTAGAGGTTGGGTAACTACTACTTTGGCTAATAACTAGGCTAAGTTTGAACACACAGCTGCTGTAACAGGCTGCTCAGCACCTCCTCTGTAAGTTACTGAAGTTATTAACCATTTCACAAAGAGGACAAGTGACATAAAGTTAACAAACCAGGATTCACTTCGGGACTGAAGGCCAGGGATGGGTTGAAGCCGACTTCAAACTTGGAACATGTAAGTTGTGGACTTTATATGCAGTTTTACTGTTATACAGTATGTTAGCTGGGTGAACTTGCCGCTATCATGCTGCGTGGCTAAAGTGGCTAGTGTCTGTCCCACACACTGAGCCGTGTTGGAGTAACATTATTTCATACTGAGAGACAGTCTGGAGAAGCAGTAGGTGTGGTAAGTTGCTTTAGTGGTATTCTACTGCAAAGCTAACGTTATCTCCGCGGCTCCGCGACTTACACACAGACGGGGCAACAGGCTGCCGGTGTGGAATACAGGAAGTGGTCAAAAACCAACGTGCTGATTGGCCGAAATAGTGCTCTGTGCATCTGCACTTGATTGTTCTTCTTCAAGGACCTTGACCTGCCTGTGACCTTAAAACTGAATTTTGTGGTTTGAAATTGAATTTAGAGAACTGAATTTGAATTGAGACAACTGAAAGTGAAAGCACAAAGACTTGAATTTTTTGTGAGGCTCAAATAATTTCAGTTTAGATTCATAATATCACATTCAGTTTCAAGTTTATTGGAATTCAGTTTGAAAATAATAAATTCAAATTCAAGGTGAGCAATCCAAATTCAGTTTTTTAATGCAGTTATTCAAGTTGAGCAATTCAAATTCAGTTCTAAATGATTCAAATTCAGTTTGTACTGACACAAAAATCAGCCCATAGATGTTGAGGACAGTGCAGCATCCTCAGGAGCCTATAGGCAAAGGGAGAACATGCAAAGCCCTAGAATCAAGAATCAGACTGAGACACTTCAAGCGTGAAAAGGCTAATCAATGAACAATGGCACTTTTTTTTATCTACGTAACTTGATTCATTCCGGTTTAACCTTTGTTCCACATGTGTAAAGAGTTGCCAGATCTGCTTTCCACAGAGTCATTCAATGGATCCAGAATGCTGCTTACCAGGTTATAGTTCACTGCTCCAGTTTTCAGTGTCTCTTTCCTCTAAGGTATATTGGACATGACTGTTAGACCAGTTATGTTATCAACATTACATGCCATAGAAATATGATGAGTTTGATAAAATATTGTGAAAAAGTCAGCTGGAAACCTGCTGCAGTCAACTGAGAGAGATGTATTTTACCACAAGACAATGACCCCGAAAATATGAAGGTCCAACAGTCGACATTCAGAGAGTTCAATTGGATATCATGTTTGGAGGTTAGATTGAAAATAGCCGCATAGATTAAGGCAATACAACAGAGGGCCAATGGGTTGTAAAGCTGGTCAGTTTCAGTAGGATGTATTCCAATGCTACATAGTGTTACAATGCAATTTCTTTGGAAGAAGCTAGGTTGGTATTCTCAGTATGGATATCATGGCCTAGGCTGCAAAAACACGCAAGTAGATGTTGTTGGAGGAAGCGAGGAACAGAAGATAGAGACCAGACAAGAGTAAATATCGGCCTGGCTTTTACTCGTTGGCATGAGCTAAAAGAGCTGAAAGGATGCAAGACAGATGCCGAGCTGGCCTTCTTGCTGTTGGACTTGTCTGAAATAACTTCCAAATAACATCCAAATTAATGTAGTGCTCTTGCATCGGTGCTGTTTAGCACTGTTGGCTAGCTTGTCACCCATGTTTCAAGCAACATAATGTAACAGGCAACATAACCGAGCTCAGCAGCCTCTATGGCAGAGGAGAAGAGGACGTTGCAGACAGAGAGTGACCAAGTAAGAGGCTTCTGGATGTTGGATGTTGGCGAAAGCTTTGTGAAATAAAAAGGTTGCAAGACAAACGGCAAGTTGGCCTTCTTTCTGTTGGACTAGTAGGCAATATTGCTATGTCTTGTGCTGTCGCACTTGCTTGATGTTTGGCTGTGTTAGCAAAGTTGTCGACTTGTTAGTTTCTGACCATAAGTAATGTAATCATATCAAATGTAGATGTACACCTGTTCTTAATTACGACAGCAATGAATTACACTCTGAAACTGTAAGGGCCCCAATTCACAAAAAAAATTAAATCTCACATAATGTATCTTTATATTCTGGAGCAGCAAATACAGATTTCTTTATTTTATTTAAAATGTTTCATAATTCCCGCGACCCTGTTAGCAGGATAAGCGGTTGACAATGGATGGTTGGATGTTTAATAATTAATTTAATTGTCCACAGCTGTCAGAACATATTGAACAAAATCTAAAAATCCAAAACCAACATAACACATGCATGACTGGGTCTGAGTTAACTGCTCTTGGTTAAACTTGACCTCATTCCTTCAACCTCTATACAGACTTAATTACTCTCCCTTTCTGATCACATTTCAACATTACAAAATGGCACATGAGAGAACAACAGTGCCAGCCTGTCTTGATGAACTCAAACTACAAACAAAACACTCTGTTCTGATGGTGCTGATAACAACTACTTTTAGTGGGTGAACTTTTCCAAACTTCAGCCCTACCCTTGGGCTAGGCTGTTGGCCTCACTGTCAGCTACAAAAGGGACGTCTCTTTCCAAAAATACTCACAAAGCTAACAGCAGCAGGACAGGAAACTTATTTTATCTGTAAACTGTCAGCATTTTCTGTAAACGTCATGGGGATATTGGATGTTTTTCTCCAGTCCTCCAGTTCTCTCTCCCTGTTGGGGGCTCTGTTGGTCCTGCTGCTCGTCTACCTCATCTCATCCTCTAGCTTCACCTCCCAGGAGGATGGGAAAGATCCTCCAGGACCAAAACCACTTCCGCTGCTTGGGAATCTGCTGCAGCTGGACCTCAAGAGACCCTACCAGTCATTACTGGAGGTGATGATAAGAGTAGTTTTCTTTCGGTAGTTTGTTGTTTTTACCTTGTTTTCTTTCTCCTTGTGTTTCTTATAAAAGAAAATACCATGTTGTTATGCTCCTGTTCTTAGCTTTCCAAGAAATATGGGTCAGTGTTCACCGTCTATCTGGGACCCAAGAAAGTCGTGGTCCTGGCTGGATACAAGACAGTGAAGGAGGCACTTGTCAATCATGCTGAAGAGTTTGGAGACAGAGATCCAATACAACTTATGCATGATGCTAGTAAAGGAAATGGTAAGAAAAGACAAAAACTGAGCTCTTTCCAAATGATCACCCTTTTCATGTTTACAGCCTTTACCCATTTTCAGCTGCTTAGTTACCATATTTTGTTGAACTACTTCGTCTCAGGGGTTTTATGGTCCAATGGTGATTCGTGGAAAGAGATGAGGCGCTTTGCCTTGACCAACCTGAGAGACTTTGGGATGGGCAAGAAGGCTTGTAAGGACAAAATCATTGAGGAATGTGACTATCTCATTGAAGTGTTTAAGAAATTTAAAGGTAAATGTCTTTTTATAACCAGCTGTGTGAAAAACAACATTTCTGGCTTTAAATATTTATATTTAATATCAATCCTCATAATTTATATACTTTTCTCTGTTTCCCTTGTTGCAGGAGAAGCTTTTGATACAACTCAACCAATAAACTATGCAGTCTCTAACATTATCTGCTCAATTGTTTATGGCAGCAGATTTGAATATGATGACCCAGAATTTACGTCCCTGGTGGATCGAACAAACAGAAACATTCAGCTTGCGGGCTCCCCATCAGTACAGGTGTCATTTCATATATTTATTAAACTTTCAGCATTGGGGTTTTAATATACATAATACATAAACTGTGGCAAATGAAAAGAACAAATTAGTAAATTTATTTATTATTTTACAAACTGATTTATATTTTTAACAGGTGTACAACATGTTCCCATGGATCTGTAACTGGGTTTCTAACAGGAAGGAAATCCATAAGTTGACTAGCACCAGTATTAAACAGAACTTACAGCTGTTCAGTCGTTTGAAAGAGACCCTCAATCTACAGATGTGCAGAGGATTTGTGGATGCCTTTCTGGTCCGAAAGCAAAATCTGGAGGTTTGAAAGTGTATTATCACCTATCAAAATTGCTATTATGCTCATTGCTATTAAGATTCTAACATCTGTATGAACTAACATTTGAGTCCCATATTTGATTCCCACGTTTGAGTGTGATGCACAGCGTCCAATTAAGAAACCCAACATTATAGCTTTTTGACTTTTTAATCATTGTCTATGGGTGAAAGAAAGGCCTTTTTGGGCCTATATATTGACCTTTAACTCCTAAAATGATAAAAAGTCCAGCTCTGTTGCTGGGGGCCTGGTGAGAAGCCAGTACCTCCAGTGAGTGCTGGTGGCTCAAGTTGTCATGTCCATTTACACTCCTCCCAGGCCAGTGACAATGAATGAAAAAGCAACCCACTGAACCGTCACCAAACCAAAAAATCCTGAGATTCTCCAAGTAGTCCTTCCAAGTAGTGTAAAGCGTGAAACATTTGGATCCGATTCATTTGAATAACTGCACTGATTCATATACCTGCAGGAATCTGGTATTACCAACAGTGACTTCCACAATAATAATCTTACGATGAATCTGTTTGCTGCCGGCACTGATACAACAGCAACTACGCTGAGATGGGGACTTCTGCTGATGGCCAAGTATCCAAAAATACAGGGTAAGGAGCCCAAGTGACCCACAACAACAGTCGAAGCAACAGTAAGTGCTTTACCAACAAGATAATAATCTTCATGAAAACAAAAACCTTTCATCTTCCAGACCAGGTCCAGGAGGAGCTGAACAGGGTAATAGGAAGTCGTCAGGTGCAGGTTAAGGACAGGAAGAACCTGCCCTTCACTGACGCTGTCATCCATGAGACACAAAGACTGGCCAACATCGTCCCCATGGCACTTCCTCATAAAACAAACCAAGACATCACTTTCCAGGGTCACTTCATTAAGAAGGTTAGACTGAATGAAACGTCTGGTATGGAGGACCCAACCTGACTTGGAAGAATGTATTAAATAGAAAAAAAATCAATTACTAAAATGACAAATATATGACAAATATAAATATATTAACCTTTGGGGACAGTAAAAGCTATAGTAAATAATATTAAATACATTTCTTGAAAATTATGTGCCATTATTTTCTGTATAGATGTATGGATTTGATTATATTTTTATAAGTGAACTTAATGGCACATATTAAAATGTTGATTTCTTTTCACAGTTGAACTTAATAACTTTTATTCCGTGTCAGCATTGAAAATTGGTATAAATTTGGCACGTTTATTTTTAATCTTTCATAATGACACTTAATTATACAGTTTTTTCATTCATAGATTTGTTAGCATTCTAATTTCTATTTCTAGTCCTGTTTGGTCCTCCATATACATCTGCAAGTTCAGAAAGTAGCAACTAATTTCTGGGTTGTTTTGTCATTTGAAAAGTATACTGTTGCTTAGCACATTGACAGCTTTTCAATTTGTGTATTTTCTACAGGGGACCACAATGTTTCCTCTCTTGACCTCTGTCCTGTATAGATTTGATAGATTTAATAGATTACATTTTTAAATCAATGACAAGGAGTGAACTTACAGGCAAATATTAAAATGTTGATTTCTTTTCACACTTGAACTTGACTACCTTCATTCGGTGTCAATATAAATCTAGATTATCCATACAATTTTGGCACGTTTATATACGTTTAATCTTTTTAATAATGACCTAATTATGCAGTTTTTTCAGTCACTGATTTGTTAGCGTTCTAATTTCTATTTCTAGTCTTGTTCGTTTCCTCCATACCCGTCTGCAAACTCAGGACAATAACTCAGAATCTAGCAACTAATTTCTGGGCTTCATGAAATATTGTGTAGCTTTGTATTTAGTAGAAAAGTATACTATTGCTTAGAACATTAACAGCTTTTCAATTTGTATATTTTCTACAGGGGACCACAGTGTATCCTCTCTTGACTTCTGTCCTGTATGATGAGAGTGAGTGGGAGAGCCCACACACCTTTTATCCTGCCCACTTCCTGGACAAAGATGGAAAGTTTGTCAAGCGAGATGCCTTCATGCCTTTTTCTGCAGGTTGGTCAATTTAGCCATCACTTCTTGACGTTAATGTACATGCAGAGGACATGAACATCTTCCTTTGTTGTCTCTTTCAGGACGCAGGATTTGTCTTGGAGAAAGTCTGGCCAGGATTGAGCTCTTCATCTTCTTCACCACCCTCCTGCAACACTTTCGCTTCTCTCCTGCACCTGGAGTTTCAGAGGATGAACTGGATCTGACTCCACGTGTGGGCTTCACCCTCAACCCTTCACCTCATAAACTGTGCGCTGTTTCCTGTATGTGATCTGTAGTAGCTTGAAAATGCTGCTTTGACTATGACTTTAATTCAGATATATTCAAGAAAGTACAGTAGATTACGTAATTTGTACAGTGCAATATTCCATGCAGTGCAACAGCAGTGAACATGTTCCATATTTGTCCGTTTGGGTTGCTGTAGAAACATGGCAATGTCCATGTAAGAGGACCCGCGGTGTATGTAGATAGACATGGCTCATTCTAAGGTAATAAAAACACAACAAAAAACGTTTCATTATGTAAGTTCGTCATACATTGACATTGCATGTCTGTCAATAGATCCTCCTAAATATTACACACTAAACCTTTAACTTACGTAACTAACATACTTGTTTTAACCCAAATCATGATCTTTTCCTGAACTTTACAAAGTAGTTTTGGTGCCTAAACCTAACCAAATTGCGACATTAACCCTTCACAATGTTAAGTGCTGGTTTTGTTTTCAAAGTCAAACTGGACGTTGCATATTTATTATTTCTAAGTTGGCTGCAGTGTTGTATTTTTTTTTCCAGATGATAATACTGTTACATAACCTGCTAAAACACAATTACCTTGTGTTTATGGTACATGGAGAAAATAATACTTAGCTGTCAGGGCAGGCCTCCTTTTAAATGGAATCAATTGCAAACTGCCCTCAAACTAGATTATTCTATTCCCTTTGGCTATTTTAAAGCTTTACAATTTTACTGCTACTTTACTAGCTTTACTGTCCAGGTAAAACATAAATTACTTCTTTAACTCTCTGTTTCTGATGCAAATAAAATAAACATGAGTAGGATAAAATAAGTGTTAAGTGATCTTTTAATTATGAACTAACTGATGTAACAGCAGAGACTTTTTTAAAAACAGTTTTACTACTATTGATTTACTTTGTCAAACAATTGTTTATTAATGTCCCTTGTCTGTCTTCAAATAAGCCTTTGCCCTGTCTGGCACCCAAATAAGGCCTGGAAATGAATTTCACATAGAGGACCCGGTCAGTCTTTAAGTAATGGAGAAATTAAATGTTTTTCTCCAAGCAACCAGCTCTGTCTCCCAGTTGGGGGCTCCCTTGTCCACAGGAAAACATAGTTTGCCAATGCCATAGCAGCATTAAAATACTATTTGTTTTAAAATCATGGGCAGGGGTGGACTTTATCTGGCATACATACCAAATGCCCAGTTGGCCAGCACACATTTGAGGCCGTTGTAGCGTAAATCATTTATTTATATAACTGTTTAACAAATGGGCCAACGATAGGCCCATAAAGCACAGACAGTGCTTGACATTGTTTCTGTAGCAAGCATAGTTTTTTAATGAAGTCTTAACTTTGGCTAACTGTCCTAATGGCAGAGGTGAGGTTATTTTGACAGTATAGCGTTGGCTAAACCCACGCTGCTGTGAAAATGACTCAAAGGCTACTTGAGTATGAGTTGTGTACTCCATGGCCACCTCTGATCACCATGGAGTCAGTAAATGAGTGTGAATGAATAAACTGATTAACTTACACTGGTCCTTGGTACATAGGCCTACCACTCAGATGGTTGGGGGGAATATTACAGTAGGTAGCCTACACATATTATATGTGCAAGGATTTGTGAGGAGAGTCCGACCGATTGTGGTGGGTCACTTGGGCCAAAAATGCCAGGGCCGATTTTTTGTCCCATGCCAGCCCTGATCATGGGGATATTAGATCTTTTTCCTCCAGTCCTCTAGTTCTCTCTGCATGTTGGCGGCTCTGCTGCTGGTCTACCTTGTCTCATCCTCCCGTTTCAGCTCCCAGGAAGACGGGAAGGAAACTCTTAATTATTATTTTAGAACAATTTTTCTGAAAATGATTTACTGTCTCGTGTAATGATTTACTTGTGTTAGAGGGTAAAGATGTTACACTGATTTCCCCTACCATCTGTACCTGTGCCTTTACCCTGCTCTGGCAGCCAAAAAATGCATCTATCTTTTAAACTGCACCTAACTCATTTTTTCTGGTAAGATATCACATAGAGAACACTGTTTCTTTCACAGTAATTGAGATATAAAAATTTTTTTGTGAGAACTGTTGGGAACTTCAGGTATTGCAAACTGTTTAAACATTAAACTTCAAAGAACACTGACCTGCTGCTTTTTCAGCCATGAACATGTGTTCAGACCATTGGGCTGTCACAGGGTAAAAGAACCCAGGCAGGGAACTTATTTAGTCACTGCAGTTGCAACAATTGGAAACAGATTAGTAATGGAGATATTAGATGTTTTTCTCCAGTCCTCCAGTTCTGTCTCCCTGTTGGGGGCTCTGTTGGTCCTGCTGCTCGTCTACCTCGTCTCCTCCTCCAGCTTTAACTCCCAGGAAGACAGAAAAGAACCTCCAGGACCAAAGCCTCTTCCCGTGCTCGGTAACTTGCTCCAACTGGACCTCAAGAGACCCTACAACACATTACTGAAAGTGAGGGAGTGACTGGAAAAATTGTATTTTCTTTGAGGATGACTTGTTGTGTCATCTCTCCAGAGAGCAACACTGAAAAATAATACTTTACATACCACATTGTCTGTGTCATCATGATATTATTCTTCTGTTTTTAGCTTTCCAAGAAATATGGATCAGTGTTCACTGTGTATTTTGGACCCAAGAAAGTCGTGGTTCTAGCCGGATACAAGACGGTGAAGGAGGCACTTGTCAACTATGCTGATGAGTTTGGAGACAGAGATTCACTGTTAATAGCACACGAAATGAATCAAGGCCACGGTAAGGAAAGAGCTTGTCATTTCCCTGTTCTATTTAACCTTAAACAAGGGTTTATGGTCCATAACCATGATTTATTTAAAACATATTTCATCTCAGGTATTGTATGGTCAAATGGTGATTCGTGGAAAGAGATGAGGCGCTTTGCCTTGACGAACTTGAGAGACTTTGGGATGGGGAAGAAGGCTTGTGAGGACAAAATCACTGAGGAATGTCACTATCTCATAGAAGTGTTTAAGAAATTCAAAGGTAAATGTCTTATTTCCTATAAAATGTGTGATCTCCCTTGTGGATATTCAAAAAAAAAACAATCGGCTGTGATTTTGATTTGTTGATGTGTTTCTAACCCTTTGGTAAAGGAGAAGCCTTTGATATAACCCAATCAATGAACTATGCAGTCTCTAATATCATCTGCTCCATCGTCTATGGCAGCAGATTTGATTACAGTGACCTAAAGTTTACATCCATGGTAGATCAAATAAACAAAAGAATTCAACTTGTGGGCTCCCCATCAATACAGGTATATAATTTACTATTTCTGTGAAGCTTTCAGCATAAATACACGTTACATTAACTGTAGTGATTGTATATGTCAAATTGTAAACTTTTGGTTAACTTTTGGTTAACTTTTGGTTAAACTGTATATCTGCTATCTATTTTATTTTACAGATGTACAACCTGTTTCCATGGATCTGCCAATGGGTTAGTGAAAGAAGAGAAATCCAAAACATCACAGCCTCCTTTAAAAAAGAGAATTTAGACCTGTTCAGTCATTTGAAGGAGACCCTTAATCCACAGATGTGCAGAGGCTTTGTGGAAGCCTTTCTGATCCGAAAGCAAAATCTAGAGGTTTGAAAACTTATTTTTTTCAAATAAACACAGTCCTGTTAGAACTTGGATGCATTTGGAGAACTGTAGTAGTTTAAATACATCCATGCATATCTCATAGAAAACATTTAGATTCAGTGGACAGTACATTTATTCAAGTACTGTCCTTAAGTAAAACGATTGGTTGAATAAGTCAAGTCAATTGACAGAAAATTGAAAGGTTCACTGTGCAAGTTTTACTGACATCTAGTGGCGAGGGTTGTGAATTGCTTACAACTGCTCAGCCACTGCTCACCCCTCCCTTTCCAAGCGTGCAGGAGAAGCCACGGTGGCCAACACACTCTGTCAGCTCTTGTGCTAATTAATACGTGCTGGCCTCCATTTGTCCAAATTTCATGTCTCTTCTTACTTCTAACAAACCAGATTACTACTACTACTTCTTCTTCTTTCTATGTATTCAACATAGTGATAAAGAGCAGTTTATCTGTTTGGGCTACTGTAGAAATATGGCGGCACAACATGGCAATTTCCATAAAAGAGGAACCACGGTGTATGTAGATAGAAATGGCTCATACTTAGCTAATAAAAAAATAACAGTTCATTATGTAATGTCATTATACACCACTGAAAACATAGTTATGGATATTATATAGCATTTCTGTCTATAGAGCCTCCTAAATATTACACCCTGAACCTTTGAGTCATTTTCATGTTGCTCCAGAGGCGTGCGACCTCTGACATGAACAGCAATTGCAAGTCGCTTTGGATAAAAGCGTCAGCTAAATGAATCAATGTAAATGGACAAAACAAGCACTGTAATGGTTTCTCACTATTTTCAGAATTTTAAAAAACAAAGAAAAAATCGATAAATGTAGAAAATAATCAGCACCACCTCAACAGCTATAGCAGTAAAATCCAGCTTTTAATTACGAGTAATCCATGAGTAATAATGATCTAATGTTATAATATCTCACACTCACACATATTAAGTCACAGGGGCCATATTTCTGCATTCTGCTTTTACTGAAGTAACATTTTCAATGCAGTACTTTTTACTTGTATTTATTTTTTCAGTGTGGTTTTAGTGCATTTTCTTAAGTAAAAGATCTCAATACTTTTCCCACCACTGTTTAGACTTCTCGTTTTTGTGCCCATTAAGCATGAGCATTAGTCATTTACTCATTGCCTTTGTAATGCGCAGAGAAATGATTTAAGTTTTTTTGCAATGAGTTTTCATTGGGAAAAAAATACTTTATGGCCAAGCTTGTCATGTGACCAAAAAACTCAAACATTAAAATCACAGCACAGTGCAGCAGTGTCAAGAAGCTTTGTTGGAGGTTAGTCAAGATCATGTTCTTGTCCACTCTGGTATCGTCAAAAGTATAAGACGCCAATTTCTAGAGTCATTTGGCTTGGCATTACAACTCATTTTTACTTTTCGCATTGACTTCTATTGTGCCGAAACGGCATGCTGTTTTACGTCTTCTGTCACAGGTAAAATCAGCAAGGTGGTGGCGGGGTGGATAGTAAGCTGGTCCCTGACCCGTATGGTTCCTGAGTGAAACCATAATTACACAACATTAGTTTTTGGTTTTTATTTCCGTTACGCTATGCAAGTTACCACGCGTCATCGTTGCTAGCCTTAGTTACGTTACGTAAGCTAGGTAGGTAAGTACATTTATCGTTGTTACGATGGTGTGGTGTGGGGACAGAGGACCCAAATGCAGAGCTCAGAGGGAAGGAGGTTTATTGAAGGAAAAAGGGTGGTGAGGGACTGGAGGGGAGGGAGAGGTGGACGCCGGGGAAACACTGGCACAGGGAAACCGACGGGACTGGGACCAGGGGGCCGGGGAACGCTGGGGCCAAGGAAGAGAAGAGGCAAGGAAGGACTGGGAGGACGCTGCGAGGGAAGTCCGAGGAGGAGAGGACCGGAGGGTGAGCCCAGCTGACAAAACGGAGGACGAGGGTGAGTGAACCTGGGACGAAAACAGACAGAGAGACAGGGTTGGAGACAGCAGCGATAAAGTTCAGGGAAACTGAGAAAAATCAAAAACATGAGAGCCTGAACGCTGAGGTGACACCGGGTATGGAGCAACAACGATCAAGCAAGAATGGTGTGGAGAACCGGGGTTGAAATACAGGCAGGGATGAGGTTGACTTGTGGCAGGTGTGGCAGGCGAGAGAGCACACACAGGGGAGAAAACACAGGGAGGCAGGCAGGGAACAGAAAACCAAGGAAAAAGCAGAATAACTGATAAAAAGGAGGAAAAAAACAGGACACTCACCGTCAGCCGGGCTGCCACCACAACAATTGTCACAATATAACAAGTTATAGAGTAAAATTGAGTTTTGTAACCCCCTTCTGCTACATAACAGACAATATACATTAATACAGAAGCAATTATAAAAGTGGTAAACATAAATAAACTATAATTAATGGAGCAGTGCTGAGGTTGAATTAGAGTTTAAGAGCCTGATAGTTGTGGGGGAAAAGCTGCTCTGCAATCTGGTGGTGTGGCAGCAAAAACTTCTATATCTCTTCCCACAAGACATCAGGGTGATCAGGCTATAGCTGGGTGGGTACTGTCCTTTAGTATCCTTTGGCCTCTGCGTAGGCACCTCACTGATATCACTGAAGCTCGGGAGATGGGTATCAATGATCCTCTGAGCAGTTTTAATCACCCGCTGCAGAGCCCTCCGGTCCTGGACCCTGCACATCCCAATCCAGTTTGATGTTTCCAGTAAGGATGCTTTCTATTGCTCCTCTGTAAAAGCCGACAAAAATTTGGGGTGGGAATTTGGCCATCTTAAGCTTCCTCAAGAAATATAGTCGTTTCTGAGCTTTCTTCACCAGCGTTGAGATGTGAGCTGACCATGTCAGATGCTGATTCCTAGGAACTTGAAACTCTTCACCTGCTCCACCTCAGCACCACTTGTAGACAGGAGTGTGTGTCTTTATCTCCTTCCTAAAATCAACGATTAGCTCCTCAGTTTTGCTGACGTTGAACTGTAGGTTGTTCTCTGTGCATCACTCTAAAAGATTATGAATTTCCTCCCGATATGAAGTCTCATTGTTGTTTGAAATCCGGCCGATGATGGCGTTGTCATCTGCAGACTAAGTTGCAAGCTAGCTAACGATGCTGACATTGACTCCCCCCCCGATGTACTTTACTGCTAACCTTAACCATCATTAACCTTAACCATCACAGCTGCGCAGATAGGGTTAACCTCCTTTATGTTGCTTAGGTCTATAGGGACTGAACAGCGTGAAATGACGTGTCATTTCTTCATAATAAAAGTCAATGCAACGGTGTGAAATGAAATGCAAAAAGCTTAAAATGCATGAAACGCTGAAATGTCCTGTGGCGTGTTATTTATGCGCCATTATACGATATCATGTTGCCCTGTCCTTACACCATAAAATCCAACTTGGTTAACTGGTGAGTGGAAATACCTTGTAAATAACGTAAATTGTCATTGTTTTGGATTTATCTGAATAATTGTGCTGATACATCTACACCTGCAGGAATCCGGGATTACTAATAGTCACTTCCACAATGAAAATCTTATGGAGACAGTTCTGAATCTGTTTGTTGCTGGCACTGAGACAACATCAACTACACTGAGATGGGCACTTCTGCTTATGGCCAAGTATCCAAAAATACAGAGTAAGAAGCTGTAGAAACATACTCACATACTTAAATACTCGAACAACAAGATACCAACACAAAAGTCATCATCATGTAATGAACTAAGAGTCTACAACCATGTGGTTAACTGTGGTACATCATTGTTTTGAGCTAAATGCTAATATTGGCTTGCTAGCATGCAAACAATGACAATGGTAACATGCTGATGTTCAGCAGACCAAAGTTAACAATGTTCAGAATCTTAGTTTAGCGTGTTAGCATGTTAACATTTGCCAATTAGCACTACAAGTACAGCTAAGGATGATAGGAATGTCATTAGTTATTCAGGTATTTCGTCATAAACCAGAGTATACAAACTGAAGATTTGACTCGATGATGGCAGCATTAAAAAGTCAAGAGACCAACAAAGTTATTACAATTCATGCCGAGGGGAACATGAATAACTTTATAAAATTTCATAGCAATTCATCCAGTGGTTGTAGAGATATTTGATATAGCTGCAGGAAAAATCAAAGTCATTATGATATATTCTCTGCGAACTATTTATTCTCTGTACCAATCCATCCAGTAGATGTTAAGATATTTCACTGAATAAGTAAACATTTTAACCAGCTTGTGTCAATAGAAAAGTCACCATATCCATCAGGCTTCATTGGGGCATTACACTTGTAACATGGACAAAAAATAGATAAATACTTCTCATAAAGTCAAAAACATAAAGGAGCGACAAACTCTGGATTATAATGAAATGATTAAAAAAAAAAATGTTTCCAGTCATTTCCAGTGCTTCCCTTTCATCTTCCAGACCAGGTCAAGGAGGAGCTGAGCAGGGTAATAGGAAGTCGTCAGGTGCAGGTCGAGGACAGGAAGAACCTGCCCTTCACTGACGCTGTCATCCATGAGACACAGAGACTGGCCAACATCGTCCCCATGTCAGTGCCTCACAGAACCAGCCAAGATGTCACCTTTCAGGGTCACTTCATTAAGAAGGTTAGACTGAATTAAAACCAATATAGAGGATCAAACACAACAAATAGATCTTATAAATTAAAAAGTTTCAATTAAATGAAAATAAGCTTATACTGAGGTACAAATACATCAATCAGAGGTGAGGAAAAATAATAATAATAATGTGCAATAACTTAAAAAAATCAAGTACCAAAGTAAAGCCTTTTAACTTAGAGCTAACCACACCATGAATTTTATTTAACTGTGGCGAATAGACTGAATGTAGCAGTTAATTTCTGGGCTCCTTAAAACACGTTTGTGTAGTTTGAAAAGAATGCTATATCTTAGCATGTAGAAAAGTCTTTTAATATCTCCATTTTCTACAGGGGACCACAGTGTATCCTCTCTTGACTTCTGTCCTGTATGATGAGAGTGAGTGGGAGAGCCCACACACCTTTTATCCTGCCCACTTCCTGGACAAAGATGGAAAGTTTGTCAAGCGAGATGCCTTCATGCCTTTTTCTGCAGGTTGGTGAATTTTGCCATCCCTTCTTGATACATTTTTTAATTTTTTAACCTTTATTTAACCAGGGGAAAAGACCCATTGAGAAATAAATCTCCTTTTCAAGGGCTCCCTGGCCAAGAAAGGGAGCAGGACAGCAAGTCTGGCAGTACAAACATAAAACAACAATACAAAATACTCCTTTGTAAGGAGTTCCAAATTAATGGTGCACAGCATGAGAAGCCAGTCTTTCCCAACAGTCACCCTGGGAACTTTTAAAAGCAGCAGCCTGCTGGACTGGGTATGATGTCTACTGATCACACAGCTGAGAAGGCTAATAATGTAATGTGGTCATTTGCAACCGAGTTCCTTATAAATAAAAATACACAAATATAGCTGTCTCCGCATAGCTAATGATGGCCAATCCACCATAAGATTCTCATCTCAGGTGTCATATATACACACTTGATAAGTGTATTTATTTCATGCAAAACATCAATTCTGCGTGTATAGGAGACACCCCCAGGTGCGTGTGAATGAGACACATTCAGGTGCGTCTGTAGATGCTAGTAGCACTTCCAGTTGCTAACTAACTAAATATCTTGCGAAGTTTGTGTTTAAGGCGTTGATAGTCCCCTGAGGCAACTTACCCTAACCTTAACCATCACAGAAGTTAGTGCCTAAACCTAAGTCAGTAAATATCGACGGCAGGTAAGCTCCTTAGTGTTGCAACCCAATAGCAAACTGTAGCGTATCATACACAGGCAAAATCAACGTTTTGCGTACTGTCATGGGTTGGCTGAGTGAAGGCACAGAGCTGAGGTGTGGAGAGACCAAGGCAAAGAGGTTGCAGTTCAAAAACATTTATTAAACACAAAACTGAACAAAACAGGCTTATGTGAAGCACAAGGCAAAGACCCAAAACTAAAGCAATCCAACAAGCAAAAGAATCCAGAGCACGGGCAGAGTAATCCAAAGAACAAGGGGCAGAACAGACAAGAACACCCAACATACGACACAAGAACGTGACAAAGACTGAAGACACAAGCAGGCATATATACACACAGGGACTAACGGGCAGGGCGGGAGCAACACAGGTGAGGGGGATCAGGACTAATGAGAGACAGTCAGGCAGAGAGACAGCAGGGGAAACAGACAGACACCAATAAGGCCATGGGGAAACTAATAATAACCAGGAAGAAATAGAATATAAATAACTGGACCAGAACATAAGCAGACAGATCACTAATATACCAAAAAACTACAACACACAGGGAAAACAGACTGAACTAAGATTAAGCACAACGCAGAGGAAACATGGACAAAATAATACCGAAGTACATGGACCAGGAGTAGACACTAAGACACGGATAAGAATGCAGGACATAACTAGAATACGAGACAAGACAGATACTAAGAAAACTTAAACATGCGAATGAACAAAGGACTAGACATAGCTACAAAACCCTAAACATGACAAGATCAAATAAAGCTATTGAAACACAGAATCCCAAAACAGACTAAAACAGGAAAGACATGAACACAAAACCACACTCCTAACAGCGTACAATAGCAACGGTTTTGTCAAAGTGTGTGTATATGACGCCTGAGATGAGAATTGAATCTGCAGTGATGTATGCACGATTTAACAAGTGTAAACAAATGCAATACTGCATGGTATGCAAAATCAAGTTTCTTTAACAATAATGAGGTTACGTGCATATACAGCAGGTCCCTGTAGTCAAGTACCGACAAAAAGGTAGACTGGACGACTTTCTTCCTCGCTTCATAGGGCAAACAACACTTTTTTCGAAAATAAAAACCAAGTTTGAGCTAATCTATGTGTATATTAAAAGTTAATTTATCGTCCAGCCAAATACCAAGATATTTGTAGCAAGTTACCCGTTGAATGACAGCGCCATTTAATATGCAAAGGGTAAGGTTCTCCTGAAAGCGAGCTCTAGTGAATGTCATGAACTTGTTTTTTTGAGTATTTAAGAGTAATTTGAGGTTGTGCAATGAGAACTGCAATGCAGAGAACGCTCTGTGACACGCTGAGCCAGGGTGGGAGCACATGTATCCAGAACTGTGTCATCTGCATAGGGATGCAACTTGGCACAATGCAAATGTTTTCCAATATCATTTACGAAAATAGTGAATAAAGTGGGAGCCAAGATCAAGCCCGGGGGACAACTCTGGAGATCTCAAGGGGTTCAGACATGATTTTCTATATAGACACTCTGAGATCTATCAATGAGATAGTTTCTAAACCAACTGCCATCCTCTTTACTAAAACCCACATTAATTAGTCTGGATAACAGTAAGTCACGATAAACTGAGTGAAATGTCTTAAATAAATCAACAAATAATGTAGCACAGTGCTGTTTTTCATCAAGAGAAATAATAGCAGGGTACTCGCAAGTAAAAAAGTCTTAAATTTCATATTCCAAAAATAAAGCCTTAAAAGTATGAAATTTCATTTACAAAGGTCTTAATTATTTTCTTTCTCCTTTCGTAGGATTAAATAAATGCCGTAACGTCATAAATAATGACTTTTTGTCTGTGTGACTTTACAATTTTCCTCCGTCTGGTGATAACTGATGTTATACTGCAGTACAGGTAACGTTACTGTTGTACATCAGTGTTCAGCTTTACGCTCTGGAGTGTGGAGCTCTGGCATCCAAGCTCTGGCGCGAATCAGTCAGGAAAGAAAACAAAACGTCTCTAACGTGCTACTAACAAGCTAATGTTAGGTGGTTGCCTCAGAATGGGCAAGTGTCTGAAAGTCAGAAAGCCAGAGACACGGACAAGCTGGTGGATGAGGCTGAGGGCAGTGGCGCTGAGGTTAGCACAACAAACGGATCGGCCTGCCTGCAGGTTACTGTTCAGTAAACGTTACAACAGCAACGGAGAGATAGTTGTGTATGAGACGAGGACAATGTCTGTGTGTCAGCAATGCACTGCTGTTGTAGGCTAATGTAATGTGAATGGAAACATACAACATGGTGATTGATGCACATTAAACTACATCACCCAGATGCACTGATAACCGGGACGAGGAAAAAACAAACCGGAGTAACTCCTTATCCCTGCTGCTTTCAAGCCAATACAGAATAGAATTAATAATCACTTAAGCAATTGACATATTAGATTACATTACATTACCTTATCTAGCCAAGGTGTAACTAATTGCAACAACTCATACCGCACAATTGTTTTGTATTTTTGATTTCACCCCTTAAGGGTTCTAGTTAGTGCACAAATATTGTATTCATTTCATAGGTGTCATTTACACTGGGGTTACTGGGGACATGTCTCCATCACTTTTTTTTAAAGCAATTGTTAAATATGTTCTTAAAATGGCTTTCAACAAGAAATGTTTAAAAAAACAAAACAAATGAAAATGCTTTGAGAATGGTTTATTTGCACAATAAAACATGCAATGCAATTTAAAGATGTGCATTGTCCAAAAAAAGTTTCTTAAGGTAAAACAACAAGCTAGTGAGTACTGCATTATATTCTGTTGTAATTGTCACCTGAATCACTTTATATAAATAAGACAATTCTACCATAAATTGGTGTAGAAAATGTCTCCAAAATGCAGGAAATTATGTGTTTAATTATCTAGGGGAGGACCCTCAGACCCACTTTTACATATTTCAGCCTTTAATATTTCATCAAAATGGTGTTAAAATATCTTCTTGTCTTGTTCTCATGAACCCAATACTGTGCATGTAAGCTAAGAGTATCGTCACACCCCTAATCTGAACCCTTGTGTCCCCACCACTTTTCAACACAAATTGACATCTTTGATTCATTTTATCTTATCAAAGTACAAACACACCCCAAGCTATAGTGTGTTAAATATGAATGTATTATAACAAAATGTTTTATTAAATTCATGTAACTTCTTAAAATTTGACCTCCTTAAAATTAAAATTCATACAGATTTTCCATTACATGGCGGTGAAGTTGGTATTAAATTTCATCCTAGGTGGTATTAAAAAGGTCTTAACTTTGAGAACCCTGGGGGTACCCTGAATAATATCATTGGCCACCAACATAACTGCTGTTATGGTACTGTGTCCTCTCCTAAAGACTGAAACTCACTTAAAATGTTATATTCAGTTAAGAACTGTTTCAATTGGACATTTACCAGAGATTCAAGGATTTTAGCTAAAATAGATTTTAGATTTAGATTTGGAGTTGGGGCGGTAGTTATACTCATTAGTAGAGTCCCCACCTTTTAATAATGGTGTAACATAAGTAGCCTTTCATAATTTAAGAATACAACTGGTCGCCAAGGACAGGTTTAAAATATAGGTAACGGGCTCTGCAAAAAGCTCGGCAGCCAGCTTTAAAAGGTGTGGATCTAGATTGTCAGGTGCTGCTGACTTTTTTGGATCCATATCTTTCAGCGCCTTACAAACATCACCAGTAGATATGTGTGTGAAGTTGAAGGTGTTAATTTGCGTGTCTGACTCAGAGCTTGGAATGAGAGATTTTGCATTGTAACCAGGGTTCATATAGTTTATATGCGCACCCACTGTGTTGTCAAAGAATGCTCTAGGTGACATAAAGTTCTTGTTAAACATTTCAACCATATCAACTTTGAATTTTACTTCCTCAGAGTCGATGATTAAATTGTCGGGAAACTTGAGGGGGCATATTAGCTTGATGTAGATTTTATGAATTTCCAGAATTTAGAAGGATTATTAAGGTTCTCTGTGATGTTCTTCAAATAGTCTTCTGATTTAGATTTCCTGATAATTTAGGTACATTTATTTCTCAAAGTTCTAAACGAAATCCAATCCCCACGTATGTCTGACTGTCTTGCTCTGGCCCAGGAAACATTTCTCAGTCTGATTAACTAATTAAGCTGTAACTTTCAACAGTTTTGCATTTCTAACACAGGCAATTACATAGTGATCACTGACCTCCTTACAGATTACCCTAACAGAATTATATTTACTGGGAGTATTCACTAAAATCAGGTCTAGTAAAGTCTACATACCAGGAATACTTAGATTTAGTCTTGTTGGTACATTTCTCAGCTGTGTAAGATTCAGAGAGTCACATAAGTCATTATGCAGATGGCATGAACATTTTCCTTTGTTGTCTCTTTCAGGTCGCAGGATTTGTCTTGGAGAAAGTCTGGCCAGGATGGAGCTCCTCATCTTCTTCACCACCCTCCTGCAACACTTTCGCTTCACTCCTCCACCTGGAGTTTCAGAGGATGAACTGGATCTGACTCCACGTGTGGGCTTCACCCTCAACCCTTCACCTCATAAACTGTGTGCTGTCTCCTGCATGTGAGGAAGAGGAGGGCTGGTGTCATGCAGTTTATCTTAGTTTAGGAATATAAAATTAGTTCATTGTAAATTGTTACTGTACACGTAACTGAGTAGATTCTACTTTATGCAATGTCACAGATGTAGTAGGATGAATATTAATGGTCTGCATCATCAGCTGCTTTCAATTTCTTATGCAAATTCCCAGCAGAATCATCTTTAATAAGTTAATTTTATAATTTCCAGAATAAAAGGCAGATTTTAAAGAAATTGTTAATACTGGAAATACTCTTATTTGCTTTCTTTCCGAGACAAAGATGAGATGAAAGATACCACTCTCATGTTTGCGCGTGCAGAGCTGAAGTCGGCAGATTGCTTTGATGGCTTAGCTTAGACGCTGAAAGCACAGAGAAACAGCTTGCCTAGGTCTTTCAAAAACATATCTATACTATATCAACTTAACATTGTTTTTGTTTTTTTACATCTGTTCATTTAATGGTGATAAGTTGTGGTTTTACAGAAAAATAATTACATTTTGCTACTAGAGATTACACTCTTCTCAAACTTAATCTCACTATGGCTCTGTTCACTCACTTTGAGCATCACAGTTGATTTAAATGACAAATTAAATTAACAAAGACGTGTTTATTTAAATCACAATATTGAATATTTTCAAATGTGTTATTTAGCCCACTTGCCTGTCAGTGTGTTCATGGTTGGGTTATTTTAATCTGTAGCTACAGTTTGGATGTTTGCATTGCTTGACAATGATATTATATTACTTTAACCAGAAATATCAGTCTAGTAATTCAATCTTGAAGTGAAAAAAAAAAATAAATTAAAAGTTGTAGCATTTATTCAGAATGTATTTTTCTCAATTCATCCTCACACTTTGGATTTATTGAAATGAAGTATTAATGGTTGGTTAACTTTGGAGAAGTAAGAGAAGGGACAACCAATTAACCTACAATTTCATGTGGCTTTCCTTACATTAAACGCATTTAATGTCCCTAAATACTGACATTTCAGTTTCTATTGTTTTAATGATCCGCGACCGCGCTGGCGGACCGGTCAGCTGTTTGTGTGTCTGTCAGTCTGGGGCTGGGCCAAACTAATACTTTCAATATTGAGTGAGGATACGAGTGGCCTCTCCCAACTTGAGAAAGCAATCAGAAAGCTGTTTTACCAGAACAAAGAATGCAGACAAAACTATCTCACAGATGTTAATTATAGCTAAAACTGATAAGCAATCTTACTTTGAAACAAAAACTGTGTTTTATTCCAGACAAATTCTGTGATTTTTGCCCGAAAGCACCTTGCATTTATTGCATCTAGGCTTATTACACCACTACAACACAGCACTGCCAGAAAGTTTACTTATGGTTCCAAAAGTGTCCAAAATGGGAGCCAGAGCCTTCAAGCTCTATCCCATGAAACCAGGTCCCAGTTTTGGTCAGGGAGGCAGACACCATATTCACATTTAAGAGTAGGCTGAGATGGTTAATCACTCCATTCTCTTATCCTTACTAAAACAGTGTGTCGGCACACCAAGAATGGGGACAGACATTTAAAGTAGACCTTGAAGCCACCCCGTACATCAGAAAAAGTTTCGAGAGTGTGTGGTGCAAAGTCTTCCTCAGCAAGTGAGGAACAAATTAAGTGAGCTTGTCACTTTAAACATCATGCCGTTTCCTGAGTTTTGTGAGCATGTTGGCCACACTGTCAGACAATACAGAGAAAAGAAAAAGGAGCAGGAGGAAAAGGACAGAGAGGCAGTACGCAGACTGACTCAGCAGCAGCTCACTACAGGAAAAGAAAAGCTCCATGGAGTGGGGACTGCCCCCACCTCCTGTAAAAAGGAGAATGAAGAAAGCATGATGTTTCAGCAAATGTTGCAGCTCTTCTTGGACAATGTAAAACAACAAACAAGGATAACATAATTAAAACTGGGGGGGGGGCAATCAAGCCCTGATTCCCTGGCCTCACCTGCCAGGAATGGAGAGCAACTTTGGACAGCATGCCCTCCCCCATCCTCAGCTTATGGGGAGAGGTAGAGGAGCAGCAACAGGGGTGCAAAGAGGACAGTCAGAAAGGGGAGGTAGGGCACTGCCTATCAAACCCCCCCAATCACTGACATACCGCCCCAGACGCTGCTGGAAATGTGGTCAGGAAAATCATTTGAAAAGCCACTGTACCATGTCACAAGGGGAGAATAACAAACCACGGAGAGGCCGGAGGCCATTTCCGTGAGGACCAGTGGACATCTAGAGAGGCCCAGGATAACATACTAACAGGGCCCAGACTCATCAAAGTGAAAGTTTGCTTCAACATCAAAAGACTCATTTTCTTGTAGATATCAGGCCGAGCGCCTCTGAATTTAACTGGAAAAGACATTGACATTGATTTTGTGAACTGAATACACTATACATTGCAAAGCAAAGCATCTTGATTTATCAAAGTCCAAACTCCAGATTGCCTGCACTGCTAGATCAGTGCACATTGACATTTTGCCAAAAGGGAGAAGACATGCTAACTCAAGTACCTGAGCATCTATGGTAAGGAAAAGAAAACATGTGACTGATACTCGACTGATAAGGTTAACAACCAGTGTACTTTAACCTGAAGCATCTAACTAGGAAGAATACATTAGAGACAACTAATTGACTTCTAAAAACAGGAGTTTTGGTTCCTGCCACAACAAGTGGGAGTACACCGATTCAACCTATGCTAAAAATAGACTAGTAAAAGTATCAATTAGTGCATGACATAGGAACAAGAAAGTAAGTGATTGAGGATGTAGATGCAGAGGTGCCTAAACCTCACACATTTCTTTTGACTGTTCCATCTACTGCCACGTCTTTTAGTAGTTGCTGAATTATGATCATTTTTGAGTGTTCCAATTAATAAAGAGCAAAAAGGTTATTTGGTTCCACCTGAAAGGGTCAAAATTATACCCAAACCAGGACGATACAAGATCTGAAATTATTATCAAATAATTTAATAAATTTTTAAAGACATCTTTTGGCTAGGCTGGACGAAAAGTGTCCAGCACATTTTTGTAGTATGTTAAATTACATTCCCTCTGTTCTGAGGTGTGAGAGATGTGCCACAAAGGCTCTATTACATTATTGAAAATGCTGGCAGAAAATAGCCACAAGGCATAAAGGCAAGAAATTGTTAAAAGTAAATCGCCCAAGATGGTCACATGATGACTTTTTAGGGGCGACAGTTTTTGCATTCACAAATGATGATGAACAATTTTCTATGTTTCTGACAGGACAAAAATTATCAGGAGTATAACACAATTGTTGAAATACAGTGATGTAACCTTTAAATCATGCCATGTGGGTTTGGTTCTACTGTCAGATGAAGGAGAGTCACATAATTGTGAAGCCAAGGTAATCAAATATGCAAATACATGAGAACTGATTAAGAGGAAAAAACTTCTGCAACATACTGAAATCACATTTTTGTAGATGGCTCTTGTTGTTGAGAGCCCAGAGGGTTAAGAGCAGGACATGCAGTAGTGCTGGCTGACGACACTGGAGGAATGGTGGTAAGAGAGGCCAAACAGTGTCCACAGCCCTGCTCAGCACAAAGGCAGAGCTGATAGCTCTGACACCAATATGACTACTAGCAGAAGTATGTATAGTAAATATTTACACTGACTTGAAAATACACACGGAGTTTATAACATTTTGTGGTTCCATACGGAAGGCCAGAGACTTCCAAAAACAGAAGGTTCACCTATGCAACATTGTGAACAGGTGAAAGTACTAATTTCAGCTATGATGCTGTCAAGAGATTTCCAAAATTAAATGCCAAGCACACAGATGGGACGCATCACAGGTTGCAAAAGGTAATGATTTTGTGGGTAAAGCAACCACTGACCTAAAAGAAAGTTGTGGAGAAAGCCACAAGGACTTGCTTATTAGCCAAGTCTGAATTCATTTTTAATGACTAATGATAATCAACTGCACATAGAATTGATCATTGTGTAATAATAAGAGGTACATACGGAGAAAATGGTTGAATGAAGTTTTTTGGGGACATAAAATGGAAGAGTAAATTAATGAAACTTAGACACATAATGTCTTAAAACAATACCAGAAAAGAGTAATTACATTAATGTAAAAAAGGTAAAAGACAAACGTAACATTTAATCACTTGAAACAAATTAAGCTAATGGATTGAAGTTGTCAATCAGAATAAAAAGGTAGACAGTAAGAGTTGTGTAAAGGAGTGAAAGATCTTAAGGAATGATTGAAAGAGTGAATGAAGAGCTATGCTAACAATGGATTGAATGCATTACCAGTAACATATAAGAGATTGTGAATGGAAGAAACTAACTTAACATCGCACAAATTTGCTACTAAATATCTAATGCTTCCGCTTGTATTAAAAGCATCTGCATAAAGACTGCCTTCAAATATGCCAGAAATTAGATTAGATTAGAACAGACATAAGATTCATGCAACAAGTGTCTAATGCGTGTGGATAGTTGTATTTCATTTTGTGACTACGCAGGAAAGAGAGAGAATGCAGAACGAGATTGAGAGAGTGGAAGCAGCTCAACTTAATGGTTAGTGCATATGAGAAGAAGCGAGCTGCAGAAATGGTCATCCAGGTTAAGAAAACACCACGAGGGTCGCCTACAAGGGTCTATCTGAGACCTCTGCATCAAGGCTCCAGAGATCACCTGTCGCTTCAACTGAGAGAGAACTTCCCAGCCAAGGGGAGGAGAGGCAGAAGGGAGCTGCAGAGGAAAGAGTTTAACAGACCCACTTCCTGGAAGTGCGCCAGGAAACAGGGCACAACCACAACGATCTCAAAGACAACGGAAGCAACGACATCTACGTCAACGATGCAGTATGACCTTTGACATCGCTGAGTTCCAGTACATCGATTTCTTGGTTTGGAGAAAGCATTTGACAAGAGAAATTGCATAGAGAGCCTATCAGGAGCTGTGCCAGAGAAGGAGTGGCATGCTCTGGTTAGGTCCAATTCTTTCGAAGAGGAAATGAAGACATTAGTGTGAACTGCCGCTTCAGAGAGACATGAAGATGGTAAGAGATTCTACCTGTGTTTTCCAAATATACACAGTTTCCTGTGATGAGACAGAAGCAGAGAGCAGAAGAGGACACTGATCCTGAAGAATAATCAGAGAATGTAAAATATAAACATTGTGAAAAAGAAAAAATAAACAAAATAGAGAAAAAATGTATGAATGAAAAATATTAACAATGTTGATGAAATGTTTGATACTGATCAATTTTGTGTTTTTGTAGTGTTTAAATCCCTAGAACAGCTGTGACTGCGAGAGTGATGTCACAGATCCCATCATATGAGGAAACGTCTTGGGTTACGTATGTAACCCTGGTTCCCCGAGAAGGGGAACGAGACGCTGCGTCGGTTACGACACTATGGGAACGCCTCTAGGCGTAGCAGGTCTGAACGTGAATGAAATCACTCCAATCCTATTGGCTTGTTGCTAGAACGGTAAGGTGTGACGGAATAACCGGAGGAGTATAAAGCACACCTGTACACACTCATCATTAGCTTAAACTATGAAGCAGGCGCTTCACCCGGGGAGAGAGGTGCGGCGGGCCGACGCAGTGTCTCGTTCCCCTTCATGGGGAACCAGGGTTACATACGTAACCCGAGACGTTCCCCTTCAAGGGAACTCGAACTGCGTCGGTTACGACACTATGGGATCGAGATACCCACTAAACCGTGCCGAAACCAATAGTGTGCAATAAAGTGGCACGACTAAGAGGAGAGTGCACGAGTGCCAGGTGCCGAAGGAAGGTCAAGACTGTAAAACCGAATGAATGTGTGCGGAGTGGCCCAGCCAGCCACTAAACAAACATTCTGCAAAGAGGCCCCGGAAAGGAGGGCTCGAGAGGCCGCCATGCCTCTGGTAGAATGAGCCCTCACAACCACAGGTGAAGGCAAACCGCGCACCTGATAGGCCAGGGAAATAGTCTGAACAATCCAGTTGCTAATAGTATGTTTGGATGCAGGGAGCCTAGCCCTGGGGGACCCAAAACACACTAGCAGCTGGTCAGCCTTCCTCCAACGGGAGGACCTCAGAGTGTAAATACTCAGTGCTCTGAGAGAGCAGATGAAGTCTCCCGTCCTCCGCCGTCACATGAGGTGGAGGATGAATGCCTGCAGCACTGTGGACCCTGCCGCACAAGAAGGCACTTTAGGGATGTATCCTGGACGAGGGTGCAGGATAGCCCTAATATTCCCCGGGGCAAACTCCAGGCTTTCGGGGAAACCGAAAGCGCTTGGAGATCCCCCACACTCCTCAGAGAGGTGATAGCAAGGAGAAAGGCCATCTTGAGGGTCAGTGCTTAGCCTCAGCTGACTCCAGGGGTTCGAAGGGGGCCTCAGCCAACGCCCCAAGAACCACCGCCAGATCCCAAGCGCAGACCGCCCTGGTGATTCAGATAGGCCACCACCGCTGTGTTGTCGGAACGAATTGTGGTGGCCTTGGAGATCGGGCAGGAAACTCCTTAGAGCCAACATCTCGAGACAGTTGATATGCCACTCGGATTGATGCACCTGCCAGGATCCCCTTGCAAAGCGGCCGTCCATGACCGCGCCCCAGCCCGTGAGGGAGGCGTCTGTCGAAATGACCAGCCGGCGACAAGACCCTCCCAGCACGGGCCCCTGGGACAGGAACCAAGTTTCCTTCCAAACTGATAGGGAACGAAGACACTTGCGCGTAACCCAAATCAGACGGAGAGGACTTCCCCTTGGGGAAAAACCCTTGGTCCTTAGCCACCACTGCAGGGGTCTCATGTGCAGCAGTCCAGATGGTATTACGCTGGACGCAGCCACCAGGAGACCCAACACTCATTGAAAGTGTTTTATAGTGATGGCGTGGCCTAACTTCACCCCTTTCACGGCAGCCAATATGGTGTCAACACGTGCTGGAGACAATTGTGCCCGCATCATTGTCGAATCCCATACTACCCCTAAGAACGTAGTCCGTTGGGTGGGCGCCAGCACACTCTTCTTTGCGTTGAGCCTCAGCCCTAAACGCTGCAGATGAGCCAGAACGACATCTCGATGCCGAACCGCTAACTCTCGAGACTGGGCTAGGATGAGCCAGACGTCGATGTAGTTGAAATCCGGACGCCCTGGAGCCTCAGCGGGGCCAGTGCTGCATCCATACACTTGGTGAATGTGCGAGGGGCAAGTGCCAGGCCGAATGGAAGAACCCGATACTGGTAAGCCACACCCCCGAAGGCGAACCCCAGGAACTTACTGTGAGAAGGACGGATGGAGATGTGGAAATAGGCGTCCTTTAGATCTATCGTGACGAACCAATCCTCGGATTGGATGTGCGTCACGATGGCGGGGATGATGAGCATCTTGAACCTGAATCTCCTCAGAGACCGGTTAGAACCCGCAGATCCAAAATAGGGTGCAGCCCTCCGTCCTTCTTGGGGACTATGAAGTACCGGCTGTAGAACCGGCATCTCTGTCTGGGGAGGAGACACGTTCCACGGCCCCTTTCCTCAGCAGAGTACGAACTTCCTGTCTCAACACCGGACCGTGCTCCGGACGGACCACAGTCCAAACCACCCCATTGAATTTTGGTGGGCGGGTTTTGAACTGTAGTCGAAACCCATGTATGGCAGTGCGCAGGACCCACGGGGTGCGGGAGTGGAGAAAGACTCCCCTACCCTGGTCTTCCCTGAGCTCCGTCGGGACTGGATGATGGTCCTCAGATCGCGTCTCTCAGAAGGCTGAGGGTGAGAGCGCCGTCTCGCTGCCCAAGCTCCTCGGGGGGGCCCCCAAGAAGCGACACTCTGCTTCCTCTCCTCTCCGTAGGAGCTCGTAGAGGGAAGGGACCTATGCCTGGCAGCCTCAGCTGCCTTGGGTCCAGACCAGCGAGGGAGGTACTGGCGGAACGCTTCGCCCTGCGTCTAGCGCTCCATGGTTCTGCGAAGCTCCGCCAGATCTTCCTCAGAGGGACCCCCCCTCTGAACCATCTCCGGTAGCAGGTCGGCTTGGTAGGCTTGAAGCACCGCCATGGTGTGCAAGCTCGCACCTGCCTGGCCCGCTGCCATGTACGCCTTCCCCACGAGCGTAGATGTGGTGCGACATGGCTTGGAGGGTAACGCCGGCTTCTCCAGGGAGGACGTAAGTCGAGGGGAGAGATAGCTCGCAAGCGCATCCTCCACCCGAGGCATCCTCCCATAACCACGGTCCCTAACCCCCATCACATTACTGTAATTCAGTGATAGGGGTGTGGAAAGCCGTGTAGAGAAGGGTCTGCCCCATGATTACTCAGTTCATCATGTAAATCAGGAAAGAATGGCAGAGACCGGCGTGGAGGTGGCGTGTGGTGCTTAAGAAACCTTTCATCAAGCTTACCACTAGCCTGTGGTGTCTGCTCCTCCTGTGACCAGTTGATGTTGAGCTTAGCCACAGCTGTAGTCACCACCTCTAGAAAAAAAAAGAAAAATATCCTGTCATTTAGGGAAAGAGATACTACTTTATTTAGATAACACTGTAGTAAGCCTATAGAGTTCAGAAAAAAAATAAATTATAAATTTCTTTAAATTAAATCATTTGAGTAAAAATAGGAAAAATAGAGACTGATTAAAATATCCTTATTACCCTAAAGTCTAAAATCAATAATATTCTGTAGGGATTTAAGAATGTTTGAAAAAGTTCATTAAGAGTGTTCCATTTAATCTTGTCAAGTTAATATTCTTTTAAATGTTCAGAGTGTTACAAAACTTAGTGTAATCATTATTTAGTGTTTGGTCATTATTATAATCATTTACTGGGGTGGTGATGGTGCAATGGATAAGACACAAGCCTTTGGTGTGAGAAACCTGGGATCAATCCCCTACTGTGACCCATCCACCATTATGTCCCTGATCAAGACACTTAACCCCTCGTTGCTGCATTTGTAAGTCTCTTTGGATAAAAGCGTCAGCTGTCAGCTGAATGAGCTAATGTAATTTACTTTGTGCTTATTGAGGAGTTGTAGAATGTAAGTTTTCCCTTTGAAGGGATCCAGAAGGGTTCTGGTAAGGGAATTGATTCGATAGAAGGTTTCCTTTTTATAGGAAAAGTGATTAATGTGTACATCATTTTTTGCATTCCATATTACTGTAGGTTTATATCTAGAGGATAGAATGAAGGTAAACAGTATTTAACGCAGCGTCGAAGGGGAGGATTGTAGTGATAAATTATGGCCTATGTGCAAAAAAACAATTGTAAACAGTCACAAGTTTAAAGGAATGATTAGTTTGATAAAATGTTGTCGACAAAGCTCACATACTTAATAGTTACTGCCAATACTGAGTGCAACATTTCGGGGAATTGGAGTCAAATTATTACTTCCACAGCTGTTTAAAACAAGGTTCAACTTTTCAGTAAATAAAGATGTGGGATGACTTGTCATTTAGACTGAGTAAAGATAAGAGACTCTCAAGGAAAGAACAAATTGCTTTCGCTTTGCCAAAGAACTATGGTAACACTCTGCACATAGGAGAGAGACAGACTAGAAATGTTGGGGAAGCATATATAATCTAAATTAATGTCTAATATCTAATGAAATGTTTGCAATTGTAACAAGAATATAGAAGTGGACCTGTGAACCCACATGTTCACAAGGAGGAGACCTCAGTTAAAGCCTTCCAACAGTATATGATCAGGAACTGGGAATTTAAGGTTCAGATGTACTCACTATTATAACTACGTAGCAATATGTTCATCCTTTAATGTGTGTATCTGATTTGAATGTAAAGTGATCTTCATTTGTGTTTCTATTGAATTTATAAGGTCACTGTAGGCAAACAGCTTAGAGGCTGCAGGAAACTGGGGAGGGTCTCCTTAAAAGGAGAATTTGATCCAAAAGGATATTGCACAACGAAAATGAGGTGAAACTTGTTTTTGTGAACTTAAAAAACACAGGAAATGTATTTAGGGGATGACGCAGTTAGAAATCCACCATGTAGTTGACGTGGCTGTAATTTATGTAAGAGTTAACAAGGAGTGGCCATTAGACTTGATTCCAGAAACCAAAGGAGAAGAAGAGTCTCGGCAAATTTGGGGTCAGTAAAATCTCTCATTAAGAATTAGGATTTAATCTTTGAATCCTTTAATATCAGAATAATGTAAAGGTTAATGTCCACTGATTTCAGAAGGCTAATCTGAGTGAATTAGAGGAGTTTTTTGATATCTGTATTTTTATATTTTCCTTATTATAACTTTATGTAATCTGTATTAATTGTCATTTTTATATTTTGTACCTTTTTCTTATGTAAATAAATTGTTGAAAAATCTAAAGATGCAGACTTAATGATTTCTGTGTCTCTGGTCTATCCCCGAGGGGAAACCCGAGCCAAGGAACAACAAAAACACCCAAACACCACTATCAGGAAAATTGTTCCCACTCTTTGATCTTCATCATTTTGGATAAGACCAGATTGTTCTGCACGTTTGGCTTGTTTTATGGTGCAAATGGAGGCACAGAATGTCTGTTATCATACTAGGGACCAAAAGTCCAGAGGTCAATTTTCACAACATACTTTGAAAAATCACTCTTCCTTGAGTTTATGGAAGTGTAACACTAAGTTTATGGAGTTGCTGCATTATGTGAAATGTGCAGTGTAAACAAAAACCTTACTCAAACACAATACAAATTGGGGCACAAAGACGCAACATGGCTGTAAACCTATAAATCCAAATGTGAGTCTTTAGTCATTGTTAACCTGTCCAGTAAAAACTTTACCAGGAAGTTTACCAAACTGTTAAAGTGCTTCATTATTTAACTTCAGAGAACACTGACCTAGAATGATTGAAGAGAGTGTTTGTATTTGTTCTGATCTTTGATCAGTATGTATTCTCAATTTAGAGTGACAGCAGGGCAGGGAGGGAACTTGCATTGGCAACAAACTGACGCAGATTATTTTTTAATAATGGAGATGTTAGATGTGTTTGTCCAGACATCCAGCTCTTTCTCCCTGTTAGGGGCTCTGGTGGTCCTGCTGCTTCTCTACCTCATCTCCTCCTCCAGCTTCAACTCGCAGGAAAACAGGAAAGAACCTCCAGGACCAAAACCACTTCTCCTGCTTGGGAATCTGCTGCAACTGGACCTTAAGAGACCCTACAACACATTATTGAAGGTGAAGAAGGGGCTGGAGTAGTATTTAGTTTCTTTAGTCTTCTGTCCAGGCAGGTAGACTGTTATAATGTATCACTGTATCTGCTTACTCTGAGTGTATATGTGTGCGTGAGTGTGTGTTAAGGAAGAAAATAATAATAATAATCTTTATTTTTATTTGTAGAGCACTTTTCAAAAACAAGTTACAAAGTGCTTTAACAAGTGTAAAGACAATAATACCCAAAAGACAATAATACAAAAACAATACATGATAAAAGCAAGAAAACACTGACTAAAATACACGTTTAAGATACATATAAAATAAGTAAAATAGAATAAAATAAAAGGGATAAAATGAAGTCAAATAACATCGGGAAAGGCTCTCCTATAAAAGTATGTTTTAAGAAGGGACTTAAGAAGGGAGTTCACTGACTCAGCCGACCTGATTTCCTCGGGCAGGCTGTTCCAGAGCAAAATGTTGTGACTTTGTTCCCCTTTTTTTAGCTTTCCAAGAAATATGGGTCAGTGTTCACCGTCTATTTGGGACCCAAGAAAGTGGTGGTTCTGGCTGGATACAAGACAGTGAAGGAGGCACTTGTCAACTACGCTGATGAGTTTGGAGACAGAGATCCAATGCTAATTGTGCATGAAGTTATGAAAGGAAATGGTAATGAAATAAAAAAAACTAAGCTTTTGACCAAACATTGTAATTGATGTTTAGCAAATATTTATAGCCTTTATCCACGTTTAGAAAGTTGTTGAACTACTTCCACTCAGGTATTGTATGGTCCAGTGGCGATTTATGGAAGGAGATGAGGCGCTTTACCATAACCAACCTGAGAGACTTTGGGATGGGCAAGAAGACTTGTGAGGACAAAATCATTGAGGAATGTGACTATCTTGTTAAAGTGTTTAAGAAATATAAAGGTAAATGTCTTTTAATAACCAGCTGCATGATAAGCAACATTTCTAGCTTTCGAAAAAAATCCTCAGTCCTCATTTATAGATTGTTTTCGCTGTTTCCCTTGTTGCAGGAGAAGCTGTTGATACGACTGGGCCAATAAACTATGCAGTCTCTAACATTATCTGCTCCATTGTTTATGGCAGCAGATTTGAATATGACGATCCAGAGTTTACATCCATGGTAGATCGAACAAGCAGAAACAATCAACTATTGGGGACCCCATCAGTACAGGTTTCTGAAGTTTCTGAAGTTTATACTTTCAACATAGTTCTTTTAATACTATATGTATGATACATTAGAAATTGTTAGATTTTTCACCTTCTTTCTAAAAAGATAATACTATCTTAAATATTAATAGATACGTATTTTTTTTCAGGTGTATAACCTGTTTCCTTGGATTGGAAAATGGTTTGCCGGCAAAAAAGAATTCCATAAATCGTTTGCTGCCAATATTAAACAGAACTTACAGCTGTTCAGTCATTTGAAAGAGACCCTCAATCCACAGATGTGCAGAGGATTTGTGGATGCGTTTCTGGTCCACAAGCAAAATCTGGAGGTTTGGAAATGTTTAACTTATCAAAATGGATATGATGGTTTACACAGGGGAATAATGTGAACTTTTGTACATGTTGTGCCCTCCTGGTTGTGCTCCTCCGTAGCTGGTGAAAAAAAAGCAGATTCAAGGACAACAGTAGAGCAATGAAAGGGCCACAGTTAATTCCTAAATAAATAAAACAATCTCATTGCATATTGGTGATTCATTAAGTTTTGTGAACAGGTGAATAATTTGTGATCTTTCAATGCAGGAATCTGGGATTACTAACAGTCACTTCCACAATGAAAACCTTTTGATCACAGTTATTAATTTGTTTGCTGCTGGCACTGATACAACAGCAACTACACTCAGATGGGGACTGCTGTTTATGACCAAATATCCAAAAATACAGGGTAAAGAGCACTAAATGTGCACAGCTTTCATACATTAGCAAGCATTAAAATAAACACAAAATCCTCACCATAACAAGAAGACAAATCTTGTCATCTGCCCCCTTTTATTTCCCAGACCAGGTCCAGGAGGAGCTGAGCAGGGTGATAGGAAGTCGTCAGGTGCAGGTTGAGGACAGGAAGAACCTGCCCTTCACTGACGCTGTCATCCACGAGACACAGAGACTGGCCAACATCGCCCCCATGGCACTTCCTCATAAAACTACCCAAGATGTCACTTTCCAGGGTCACTTCATTAAGAAGGTTCGACTGAAAAATACATGCCCTGACAATAATGAAATAAAATGTTTCAATAAATTGAAACATTTCAAGCCAAGCAAGTAAGCATGATGTTGACTTTGTTGACCTCATAATATTCTTATTAAAATTTGTAGCAAGATTAAAAAAAATTTATAGACATATTTTGAGGTAATAAAAAACTAAAGAAAATGTGACCACCAATGCAGTTTAGAAGGTTTGTTTAAAAAATAAATTATTATCAGTAGTATCAGTACTATATTATTCATGTTAACTTTCCTTTTATTTTGTGTACCTCAGGATTTATTTGTCTTCATCAGGATTAATTTTTCCATCAGAAGAAATACGATTTTCCTAATAGACTTGATTTTTTTTTTCTCACAATTAGCATTTTTATGCACATTTATTTACTAGGAAGCCATGTTTTCACATGCGTAAAAAGTTCAATTTGAGTATTTTCTACAGGGGACCACAGTGTATCCTCTCTTGACTTCTGTCCTGTATGATGAGAGTGAGTGGGAGAGCCCACACACCTTTTATCCTGCCCACTTCCTGGACAAAGATGGAAAGTTTGTCAAGCGAGATGCCTTCATGCCTTTTTCTGCAGGTTGGTGAATTTAGCCATCACTTCTTGATGATCACTTACTTGCAGTTGACATGAACATTTTCCTTTGTTGTCTCTTACAGGCCGCAGGATTTGTCTTGGAGAAAGTCTGGGGAGGATGGAGCTCTTCATCTTCTTCACCACCCTCCTGCAAAACTTTCGCTTCACTCCTCCACCTGGAGTTTCAGAGGATGAACTGGATCTGATTCCACGTGTGGGCTTTGGCTGCAGCCCTTCACCTCATAAACTGTGTGCTGTCTCCTGTATGTGAGGAGGAGGAGGGCTGGTTTCATGCAGCAAACTTAACTTAGTTTAGGCATATAAAATGAGTTAATTGTAATGTGTTACTGTACACGTAACTGATTTGATTCTACTTTATGCAATGTCACAGGTGTAGTAGGATTACGGACTACATCTGCAGCTACTTTCTGTTTCTGTTGCAAATTCCCAGGAGACTCGTCTTTAAAATGTTTAATGTGAAATTCCCAGAATAAAATGCAGCTTTTAAAGAAACTGTTATACATTTTTGGAAATACTCTTTTTATTTGCTTCCTTTTTACTGCATAAAGATTGGAAAAGATACCTGATGTGTTTCACCTGTTTGTACACCCTCCCAGCTCATGAGTGTGTGTCTTTATTGTCCGTGTTTTTTCATTGGTCTTTGTTGGCTGTCTTTCATTCATGCTGTGTGTCACTCGTTCCGTTTTTCTGCTTGTACCCTGTCTGTTAGTTCCTGTTCTGTGTATGGTTGGATTTACGTTTCACGCTCTTCTATTGTTTTGTCAGTGGAATTTGGGACATTTACTTTACCTTTTGGATTTATTTTGCCTGTGTTTTGTTCAGACTTTTTTAGATTTGTTTGAACTTTGACACTCAGTGTAAGTGTATAAAATCATGAAACTCAGAAAGGAGTATGCATAAGACAAAAGGGTCTCACATATGTTCATTAAATCAAAAACCTGTACATTTACTGCAAATTAAAATACTACATATGATGAGCATAAGTACATAAGGTAAGTTACATATTTATCATGGTGAAAAGTACATGTAGGTAAATTAAAGTTTTCACATTATACACATTACTCCCATAATACAATTTTTCTTTTATAACCTCAAAAGCTGCCATCCATCTGGCCTCCCAATGTCCGTCTGCTGACTGAGGAGTTTCCTGGGCTGGCCAAGACCAAAAGGTCTTTAGCTTAACGACTTCCTTCCATGCTAGTGCCCATCAGGGGTGTCTTGACTTAATACAAAAACAGACACAGCAATCTTCTGACCACAACTCAAAACAGCCAACCATGCAATAGAGGTTTTTAACATGGCCCATGTTTTACAAATCAGAAGATGAACTTCATAGAAGTGACTATCACCATTTGTTCTGACCTTTGGGCTGCGCATACTCTCAATTCACTCCACGTGTGGGTGTGCACCTGGTGATCCTCAAACGATGTAATTAAACTGCTGAGTCTTGACCTGAGGAGTTGGCCCTTCTGTGTTGAGTCATGCGTTTATGTAGTGGTTGTTTAGTTTCCCCAATGGACAGTGGAGAGAGAGAGGGGAGGGAGGCAGCCTACACAATATACACGCAAAGGTACAGACAGTAAAGGTGATGTTGCTATAGACTAAATGAAAAATGGTGCAGATATATACAGTAGTGTTAATGATAATAATTGTAATGTTAATGATTATAATAACAATAATAATAATAGGACTAGTAACAATAGTTGTTGTAGTAGAGGGTGTCGAGCAGGAGCACGGGAGCAGCAGGTGACTCGCAACAACAGATCCAGACTCCACAGCTCCAGAGCCAGAAACACCTGCAGGAAGTGATAGGAGGAGAGAGGAGAGGGACGAGAAAGCACAAGACTACCGAAAAGGGGAGAAGTCAAGTTAGTAACATGCATTAATGGGATGAGGTTGCATACAGAGGGAGAGAAAGAAGAGGAGAGAGGAGCTCAGTGCATCATGGGAAGTCCCCCGGCAGTCTAGGCCTATAGCAGCATAACTATGGGATGGTTCAGGACTCACCTGAGCCATCCCTAACTATAAGCTTTATCAAAGAGGAAAGTCTTAAGCCTAGTCTTAAATGTGAAGATGGTGTCTGCATCCTGAACCCAAACTGGAACCTGGTTCCACAGGAGAGGAGCTTGATAGCTGAACGCTCTGGCTCCTAGTCTACTTTTGGAGACTCTAGGAACCACAAGTAACCCTGCATTCTGGGAGCACAGTGCTCTGGTTGGGTAGTAAGGTACTATGAGCTCTTTAAGATAAGATGGTGCCTGATCATTAAGAGCTTTGTAGGTAAGAAGAATGATTTTAAATTCTATTCTGGATTTTACTGGAAGCCAATGCAAAGAAGCTAAAACAGGAGAAATATGATCTCTTTTCCTGGTTCCTGTCAGAACACGTGCTGCAGCATTCTGGATCAGCTGAAGAGTCTTAATGGACTTTTTCGAGCAGCCTGATAATAAGGAATTGCAGTAATCCAGCCTAGAAGTAACAAATGCATGGACTAGTTTTTCTGCATCATTTTTAGACAGAATGTTCCTAATTTTTGCAATATTACGTAGGTGAAAATAGGCGGTCCTTGAGATTTGCTTAATGTGAGACTTAAACGACATGTACTGATCAAAGATAACTCCAAGATTACTCACAGTGGTGCTGGAGGCCAGGGCGATGCCATCAAGGGAATCTTTATCTTTAGATAATGCGTCACAGAGGTGCTTAGGCCCCAGAACAATAACTTCAGTTTTATCTGAGTTTAACATTAGAAAATTACAGGTCTTTCAGGTTTTAACATCCTGAAGGCACATTTGAAATTTAGCTAACTGACTAGTTTCATCTGGCTTGATCGATAGATATAACTGAGTATCATCTGCATAACAATGAAAGTTTATGGATATTAAGAATATTTCCTAATAATATTGCCTAAAGGAAGCATATATAAAGTGAAGAGGATTGGTCCAAGGACAGATCCTTGTGGAACTCCATGACTAACTTCGGCATGCATGGAGGACTCATCAGTACAGAGACAAGTCCTTTGTCTGATGCAATTAGGAGGTCATTAGTAATTTTCACCAGTGCTGTGCTATGATGAGCCCTAAATCCTGACTGAAAATCCTCAAATAAACTATTGGTATGTAGAAAGTCACACAGCTGTTTAGCAACTGCTTTCTCCAGGACCTTAGAGAGAAATGGAAGGTTAGATATAGGTCTATAGTTGACTAAAACGTCTGGATCAAGGTTGGGCTTTTTCAGAAGAGGTTTAATTACAGCTACTTTAAAGTAATGTGGTACATAGCCTGTTGATAAAGATAGATTGATCATATCTAGTATAGAAGTGCTGACTAGGGGTAAAACTTCTTTAAGCAGCCTAGTCGGGATGGGGTCTAAGAGGTGATTGATGGTTTAGATGAAGAAATTATTGAAGTTAGTTGGTAAAGATTGAGGGAAGCAAAGAAGTCTAAACATATCTCTGGCTCTACAGCTGTTTCTAAGGTTCCTGAGTTTACAGATAAGTCGGTGCCAGTTGAGGGCAGGTCTTGGTGAATTTTGTTTCTAATAGTTAGAATTTTATCATTAAAGAAGCTCATGAAGTCGTAACTACTGAGAGCTATGGGAATACTTGGCTCAATAGAGCTGTGACTCTCTGTCAGCCTGGCTACATTGCTGAAAAGAAACCTGGGGTTGTTCCTATTTTCCTCTATCAATGATGAGTAGTATGCTGCTCTGGCATTACGGCGGAGCTTCCTATAAGTTTTAAGGCTATCTTGCCAAATTAAACAAGAATTTTTCTGTTCGGTGGAATGGCAATTCCTCTCAAATTTCTGCAATATTTGCTTTAATTTGCAAGTTTCAGTATTATACCATGGAGCTAATTAGTATTTGTTTTAGTATTTTCTTTTTTAGAGGGGGCTACCGAATCGAGTGTCGTTCGCAGCGAGCCTGCAGCACTATCGACAAGATGATCGATTTGGGAAGGACTGAAATTAGCATAGGAGTCCTCCGTCACTTTGTGATCCGAAAATGAATTTAGAGCTGATGGAGTCGAATCCTCAAATTTAGCTACAGCTAAGCTACTCTTAGTGTTCTTGGGTTTTAAAACACAGGGATGTAGTGTTTGGATGTAGTGATCCTGCTGACACTCCAGACACATTTGGAATCACAATATTGTTGCGTTTCTCCTCATTCACTGTAATGTTGATCTTCTTCCTGGATTTTGTGGCTGTTTTCACAAATGTCCATTTAGGGTATCCACAGGCTGTAAGTGCTCCCTTCAGGTGGTTCTGTTCCTTCTTTTGCACTTGTTGGTAAGTTGTCCGCTCTGTGGTGCAGGGTTCTGATGACTCCTAGCTTGTGTTCCAGTGGGTGGTCACTGGAATCAAATGAATCAAAAAGTAGGTATTGGTCTGTGTGCGTGGGTTTCCTGTAAACTCCAATTTGCAGGCTCCTGTCCCCTTCAATGTGTACAGCAGAGTCCAGGAAAGCTGAACTGTTGTTGTGGACATCTTCTCGTGTGAACTTGATGTTATTGTCCATGGAGTTGATGTGTTCTGTGAAGGCTTGCACTTCTTGGGTTTTAATTTTGACCCAAGTGTCATCCACATACCTGTACCAGTGGCTTGGTGCTGTTCCTCTGAAGGAGTAGAGGGCTATTCCCTCCACTTAGGTGGAAATAGGTGGTGTTTAGACAGAGGTCGTAATTTACAGATCTGGTCAGTGCTGAGGCTGGTTCTGCTGTCCAGGGTGTGGTCTTGTAGTGGCCATTTCCTTACGGATTCTATTACCTCCATGGTGGGGATGCAGGTGAACAAAGAGGTCACATCATTGGACACCATGATTTCATCCAAGGCCAATTTCAGTTCTCGAGCTTTGTTTACAGAGTCAATGGAGTTTTGGATGTGGTGGGGCGTGTTACCAACCACAGGGGCTAAGATGGTAGATATGTGTTTGGCAAATTTGTAGGTGACCGAGTTAATGCTGCTGATAATTGGCCCGTGTGGGGCTCCTCCTTTGTGTATTGGTTAGTCTATATATGCAAGGAATGGCTTCTCCAGGATACAAGCAGTAATGCTGTTGATGGAGTTGTCTTTCTGAAGTTGTTGTGGACATTCTATGGCCTTCTTCTTGCACCCGCTGGTTGGGTCCCGCTTCAGTGTCTCATATGTGTTTGTGTCCATTAGTAGTGACTTGACTTGACTTGTCCTGGTAGTCCACTGTGTTCAGGACTACCATGCTTTTTCCTTTGTCCGCAGGTAAGATGGTGATGTTTTGATCCTTGCTTAGTGATGTCACAGAACTAGTTTCTTGGATGGTGAGGTTGGAAGGTAGTGCCTTTGCATTAGAAAGGGTTGCCGATACCTTTTGCCTGAGCTGTCCTGCTTCTGTTTCAGTTAATTTGTTTTTCCTAATGGCTGATTCTGTAGCTGTGGTCCACTATAGGTAGCTGCTGTGGTGTGATGGCAAGATTTAATCCTTTGGCCAAAACGTCTTGCTCCGGTTGGGTGAGTTCCCTATCTGATAGATTTTTTACCCATCTGTTATCTGTTTCCCATGTTGTTGGTTTGTTGTCCTTACTCCTCCAAGACAATTCTCCTGTTTTGTTTGCGTTGCTGGTTCTTGCCTGTAGGTTTTGGAATTTTTGGGTCTGTCTTTCCTTGCTCTTGTTGTGTTGAGATAGCTGTGCTTTCTTGATAAAATCCATGACCTTTTCCAGTACTGTAGTGGGCAGATGTTTTTCCAGTTTTTGGTGTCAATTGTCTGATTCTTTATTCAGGGCTTCAATGGTGAAATGGATCTGTCTCACTCTCTCATTCAGTAGCTGGTGTTGTGCTTTCTCCAAGATGAGAGCATATGTGTAGGCTGTTGGGTATGATTTTGAGTTGTCGGCATCTCAGGTTAAATCTTAGGTGGTTTCTGTAGTCTGCAATTTTCCTGGCTATCCTTTCATACCGTACCAATCTGAGGGTGTTCATGGATGGAAGATGGATGGTTTGTAAGAGGAGTCAGGGAAGCCATTTACACCCAGGTTGAGAAGCCATCGTTGAACAGAGGAGGTGGTCTATGCCACTACTTAACCACCACTTACAATGCTGTCCTTTCATCACTTCCCAGGAAACTCAACAAACGTAACCTATTGACCTCAGGTGAAGATACCAACGATGGTCGTTCAGTCTTGGCCACAGGTAGTCTTAACGACTGTAACGACTGTCGTCACAGCAACAAGGAACACTAACGAACCAGCGGTATCGATGACCCGGGATAACGACCCCACTGACGTTAAATAGCTGAGTTTCCCTGCCAGTCAGTCAGAACTGAAGAAGTCCTTTGGATAAGGGACGAAACGTCTTCCAGTAGCTTCAACCAAGTCCAGTTGCCCTTCATTTTAACCTTCGTTGGATAGCCAGTATGAGCTTTGAGTGAATTTGCTTATGACCTGTGTGAGCTTTGAGTGAACTTTCTGAAGGAATTCATGCTTTGCAAAAACACGACAGAGGATGACCAAAAAACCGACAGATGCTTGGCAAAAACACGACAGACAGATGATAAGCAGAAAGCAGAAAGTAGCCAGCATAAATCAAGAATAATAAAACATCAAGAATGCTGTAAGAAACCAAGCATTAATGGAAAATACTTATGTTATTCTTATATTAATTGGTTAAAAAATACAATTCTGTGTCAAATTAAGCATGCGTAACCTTTAAAAAACACAGTGAGACTGAAGTTGAAATGTAAATGATGAACTTCTTATCCAGTAGAATAAAGATGTAGAAAGTCTACAATACAGTAATAAATGACAGCTGGGGAACAGTGTTAATTGGTAAAAACAACACAATAACAGAGGTAAAGAAGTTCATCATGAGGAAAGGAGGGGGCAAACCAGCCCAGAAGAGATATATATAAGGCTGTCTGCAGACCATAGGAGGGACTTCATCCTCTGGCCTGCTGGGATGTTGTACGGGTTTATGTGTCCTGTTTTGGAATAAACTCTTTTGCACCGACTCTTGACCGTCTCCAGAGAAGTTTTTGATTGCAAATTTATTGACTATAATAGAAAGCTAATGGAGTATTTTTTGACAAAGTTTATTCAGTTGGTGAAGGTGGGGACCAGGCTTAACTGGCCCAGCCTGGTCGTACATCTGACCCAACACTGTGAGGCGACAGTGCTAACCACCGCACCGCCCAATATATATATATATATATATATATACCACCATCCTTTTTTTCCCCTGACAACCTGTTTATCAGACCCATCTGAAAACTGGAATGTAATTTAACTATCAAGATATACAGTATGTGGACAGGACAGATGTTTAGTGTAAGCTTGTTTCTAGTTTCCTCAACCTGGAGGAGTAGGTAGTAATGACATGCTGCTAATTAACGTTACTTCTTATAAATCTAGCAAGTGTTACATAGCAGCTAAAAACCTTAAGCTTTTGTGAAAATCATTAGTAGGGCATTGATATTGATATCCAAAAAAATTATATTTTTCTTGGGAAAAACACATTTAAAAGCGGAACTGAAGTTAAAAGTAAAGCTAACCATGTAATTCAATCAACATTTAAACCTGTGAAAATTGTTTTATAATTGTCTAAAGACTTTTTGTGGCCTAAATCATTGAGGAAAGTGGCTATCTCATTGAAATGTTTAAGAAATTTAAAGGTAAGATATCTGAATATAACCAACTGCATTTCGGGCTTTAAAAGATATTAATCCTCGTAACTGATGTCTTTTTCCTTGTTGCAGGAGAAGCTTTTGATATGACCGGACCTACCTTACTATTATTTCACATCTCTATGTGGTGGGCTACTGTTTCTGTCTGTCTGATCAAGCTCATTATTCTCATCTCATCTGGCTGCACTTTTGCTGACTGACTTGTTGAAAATATCAATTGCTGGCTGTAAACAACAATACAACCAGGCTCCAGTCTAGTAATGTTGTCATGAAGCAAATGAATGGGTTCCACCAAAAATCAGATGACTGCTATAGCACCACTATCAGGAAAATTGTTCCCACTCTTTGATCTTCATCATTTTGGATAAGACCAGATTGTTCTGCACGTTTGGCTTGTTTTATGGTGCAAATGGAGGCACAGAATGTCTGTTATCATACTAGGGACCAAAAAATCACTCCTCAGTGAGTTTATGGAAGTGCAACACTAAGTTTATGGAGTTGCTGCATTATGTGAAATGTGCAGTGTAAACAAAAACCTTACTCAAACATAATACAAATTGGGGCACAAAGACACAACATGGCTGTAAACCTGCAAATCCAAATGTGAGTCTTTAGTCATTGTTAACCTGTCCAGTAAAAACTTTACCAGGAAGTTTACCAAACTGTTAAAGTGCTTAATTATTTAACTTCACAGAACACTGACCTAGAATGATTGAAGAGAGTGTTTGTATTTGTTCTGACCTTTGGTCAGTACATATTCTCAATTTAGAGTGACAGAAGCAGGGCAGGAAGGGAACTTGCAGTGGCAACAAACCGACGCAGATTATTTTTGAATAATGGAGATATTAGATGTGTTTGTCCAGACATCCAGCTCTTTCTCCCTGTTAGGGGCTCTGGTGGTCCTGCTGCTTCTCTACCTCATCTCCTCCTCCAGCTTCAACTCGCAGGAGATCAGGAAAGAACCTCCAGGACCAAAACCACTTCTCCTGCTTGGGAATCTGCTGCAAATGAACCTTAAGAGACCCTACAACACATTATTGAAGGTGAAGAAGTGGCTGAAGAAGGTTTTTTATTTAAACTGTTATTACCTTGTCAGCTTCACCTGGTGTTTGTGCGTTAAGCAAGAAAATGCTGTGACTTTGTTCCCCTTTTTTTAGCTTTCCAAGAAATATGGGTCAGTGTTCACCGTCTATTTGGGACCCAAGAAAGTGGTGGTCCTGGCTGGATACAAGACAGTGAAGGAGGCACTTGTCAACTACGCTGATGAGTTTGGAGACAGAGATCCAATGCTAATTGTGCATGAAGTTAATAAAGGAAATGGTAATGAAATAAAAAACTGAGCTTTTGACCAAACATTATAATTGATGTTTAGCAAATATTTAGAGCCTTTATCCACGTTTAGAAAGTTGTTGAACTACTTCCACTCAGGTATTGTATGGTCCAATGGCGATTTATGGAAGGAGATGAGGCGCTTTACCATAACCAACCTGAGAGACTTTGGGATGGGCAAGAAGACTTGTGAGGACAAAATCATTGAGGAATGTGACTATCTTCTTAAAGTGTTTAAGAAATATAAAGGTAAATGTCTTTTTATAACCAGCTGCATGGTAAGCAGCATTTCTAGCTTTTTAAAAAAATCCTCAGTCCTCATTAATAGATTGTTTCCCTTGTTGCAGGAGAAGCTGTTGATACGACTGGACCAATAAACTATGCAGTCTCTAACATTATCTGCTCCATTGTTTATGGCAGCAGATTTGAATATGACGATCCAGAGTTTACATCCATGGTAGATCGAACAAGCAGAAACAATCAACTATTGGGGACCCCATCAGTACAGGTTTCTGAAGTTTCTGAAGTTTATACTTTCAACATAGTTCTTTTAATACTATATGTATGATACATTAGAAATTGTTAGATTTTTCACCTTCTTTCTAAAAAGATAATACTATCTTAAATATTAATAGATACGTTTTTTTTTTCAGGTGTACAACCTGTTTCCTTGGATTGGAAAATGGTTTGCCGGCAAAAAAGAATTCCATAAATTGTTTGCTGCCAATATTAAACAGAACTTACAGCTGTTCAGTCGTTTGAAAGAGACCCTCAATCCACAGATGTGCAGAGGCATTGTGGATGCGTTTCTGGTCCACAAGCAAAATCTGGAGGTTTGGAAATGTTTAACTTATCAAAATGGATATGATGGTTTACACAGGGGAATAATGTGAACTTTTGTACATGTTGTGCCCTCCTGGTTGTGCTCCTCCGTAGCTGGTGAAAAAAAAGTACATTCAAGGACAACGGTAGAGCAATGAAAGGGCCACAGTTAATTCCTAAATAAATAAAACAATCTCATTGCATATTGGTGATTCATTAAGTTTTGTGAACAGTGAATAATTTGTGATCTTTCTATGCAGGAATCTGGGATTACTAACAGTCACTTCCACAATGAAAACCTTTTGATCACAGTTATTAATTTGTTTGCTGCTGGCACTAATACAACAGCAACTACACTCAGATGGGGACTGCTGTTTATGACCAAATATCCAAAAATACAGGGTAAAGAGCACTAAATGTGCACAGCTTTCATACATTAGCAAGCATTAAAATAAACACAAAATCCTCACCATAACAAGAAGACAAATCTTGTCATCTGCCCCCTTTCATTTCCCAGACCAGGTCCAGGAGGAGCTGAGCAGGGTGATAGGAAGTCGTCAGGTGCAGGTTGAGGACAGGAAGAACCTGCCCTTCACTGACGCTGTCATCCACGAGACACAGAGACTGGCCAACATCGCCCCCATGGCACTTCCTCATAAAACTACCCAAGATGTCACTTTCCAGGGTCACTTCATTAAGAAGGTTAGACTGAATAATACATGCCCTGACAATAATGAAATAAAATGTTTCAATAAATTAAAACATTTAAAGCCTAAGCAAGTAAGCATGATGTTGACTTTGTTGACCTCATAATATTCTTATCAAAATTTGTAGCAAGATTAAAAACATTTTTTAGACATATTTTGAGGTAATAAAAAACTAAAGAAAATGTCACCACCAATGCAGTTTAGCAGGTTTGTTTAAAAAATAAATCATTATCAGAAGTATCAGTACTATATTATTCATGTTAACTTTCCTTTTATTTTGTGTACCTCAGGATTTATTTGTCTTCATCAGGATTAATTTTTCCATCAGAAGAAATATGATTTTCCTAATAGACTTGATTTTCTTTTTCTCACAATTAGCATTTTTATGCACATTTATTTACTAGGAAACCATGTTTTCACATGCGTAAAAAGTTCAATTTGAGTATTTTCTACAGGGGACCACAGTGTATCCTCTCTTGACTTCTGTCCTGTATGATGAGAGTGAGTGGGAGAGCCCACACACCTTTTATCCTGCCCACTTCCTGGACAAAGATGGAAAGTTTGTCAAGCGAGATGCCTTCATGCCTTTTTCTGCAGGTTGGTAAATTTAGCCATCACTTCTTGATATCACTTACTTGCAGCTCAGAATCAGAATCAGAAGGAGTTTTATTGCCAAGTAGTGTTTTACGCATACGAGGAATTTGCTGTAGTGTTAAGGTGCTACACGTAGACAAACATACAGTCAACATAAATAAATGTGGAAATTGGAATTGAATAACGTTGCAGATATATACATGTGCATTATTCTGGGTCTGTGCCGTGCAGAAGTAACGTAACGGAAGAGAATATAGTTTACATATAAATATATAAACTGACAACATAAAAATATACAACAACAAAGATCAACAATCAACAACAAATATGTGTGACGTGCAGAGACATTTGTATCATTTGTAAGGGGGGAGTGTCAGTGGGGGACCCGGGCCTTGTTAATGAGGCTAGTTGCAGACAGGAAGAAACTGTTTTTGTGGCGAGAGGTTTTGGTCCTGATGGATCCCCGCAGCCTCCTGCCAGAGGGGAGAGTCTGGAACAGTTTGTGTCCGGGGTGGGAGGAGTCAGCTGCAATCTGTCCTGCTCGCCTCAGAGTCCTCAAGGAGTACAGGTCCAGAAGAGAAGGAAGATTGCAGCCAAACACCTTTTCTGCAGAGCGAATGATGTGCTGCAGCCTGCCCTTGTCCCTGGCAGTGGCAGCAGCGTGCCAGATGGTGATGGGGGAGGTGAGGATGGACTCAATGATGGCGGTGTAGAAGTGGACCATCATTGTCTTTGGCAGGCTGAACTTCTTCAGCTGCCGCAGGAAGTACATCCTCTGCTGGGCCTTCTTGGTGAGGGAGGTGATGTTCAGTTCCCACTTGAGGTCCTGGGAGATGATGGTGCCCAGGAAGCGGAAGGAGTCCACAGTGGTGACTGAGGACACACACACAGGATGATGGGGAAGGGTGGGGCTGTGCTCTTCCTGAAGTCTGCGACCATCTCCACTGTCTTCTGAGTGTTGAGCTCCAGACTGTTCTGGCTGCACCAGGTCACCAGATGGTCAATCTCCCACCTGTAGGCGGACTCGTCCCCACCTTTTGTTTTGCCGGAGAGCTCTGTGTCACGGTCTACTCTGTACAGTTGGAAGCCTGCCAGCTGCAGCGCGTAGTCCGGTATCAGCACACACAGCCACGTCTCCGTGAAGCACAGAACAGAAGATGAATAAAAGTCTCTGTTTTTCCCCACCAGAAGCTGAAGTTCATCACATCCACTTTGTTGCACAGTGAGCGCACATTGGAGAGAAATATTGCCAGTATCACAGCCGAAAACTGAATTAACACACAAAAACAAAATAAAACAAAGCGCACCGAACACCGAGGCAGCTATACTCAGCGCCATCTTGGAAAGCATGCAGTTGACATGAACATTTTACTTTGTTGTCTCTTACAGGCCGCAGGATTTGTCTTGGAGAAAGTCTGGCCAGGATGGAGCTTTTCATCTTCTTCACCACCCTCCTGCAACACTTTCGCTTCACTCCTCCACCTGGAGTTTCAGAGGATGAACTAGATCTGAGTCCACGTGTGGGCTTTGGCTGCCGCCCTTCACCTCATAAACTGTGTGCTGTCTCCTGTATGTGAGGAGGAGGAGGGCTGGTTTCATGCAGCAAGCTTAACTTAGTCTAGGCATATAAAATGAGTTAATTATAATGTGTTACTGTACACGTAACTGATTAGATTCTACTTTATGCAATGTCACAGGTGTAGCAGGATTCATATCAAATTCCCAGCAGACTTGTCTTTAAAAAGTTGAATGTGAAATTCCCAGAATAAAATGCAGCTTTTAAAGAAACATTTTTGGAAATACTCTTTTTATTTGCTTCCTTTTTACAAGATAAAGATTGGAAAAGATACCCTTCTTATGTTTGGATATTGCTAGCACAGAGCTGGAGTAAGAAGATGGTTAGCAGCTGTGCTGAAAACAGAGAGAAACCATCTTGCCTAGCTTTGTCAATATATCTATATCTATACTAAATCAACTTAACATTGTTTTTGTACATCTGTGCATGTCAAGGCACAGGAGTCAGAGTCCTCTGGTCCCAACGTCACACAGACCGCTGCAGCAGCAACGGCAGAGGAAAACACAGCTTTAAGGTTTTAATACCGCTTATCTGTCGTTACATTCTGAGTAATGTTAAAACGTTTTAACTTAAATCAGGAGACAGCTGTATGTGGGTCGCTGGTGTGTTTCGCATTGAACATTACGTCGCTGCAGTTGTGTGTGGCGTTGCTATGACAACCAGCTACATTGAGAAGTACTATCTCTGGGTACTATCTGCCATCCATCCCTTGAGGGGGGTTCTGTCCGTTTTGTTTTGTATTTTCTGTATGATTTTGAAGTTGTCAGTCCTGTTCTGTGTATGGTTGGATTTACGTTTCACGCTCTTCTATCGTTTTGTCAGTGGAATTTGGGACATTTACTTTACATTTCAGATTTATTTTGCCTCATTTCGATTTCTGTGTTTTGTTTGTACTTTTTTGGATTTGTTTGGACTTTGCCACTCACTGTAAGTGTTACAACTTTATTTTACAACGTTATTAAATTATGAAACTCAGAAAGGAGTATGCATAAGACAAAAGGATCTCACATATGTTCATTAAATCAAAACACTGTGCATTTACTGGAGATTGAAATACTACATATGATGAGCATAAGTACATAAGGTAGGTTACATAGTTATGGTGAAAAGTACATATAGGTAAGTAATATTTTTCACATTACACACATTACTCCCATAATACAATTCTTCTTCTATAACCTCAAAAGCTGCCATCCATCTGGCCTCCCTATGTCCGTCTGACTGAGGAGTTTCCTGGGCTGGCCAAGACCAAAAGGTCTTTAGCTTGATGACCAACACAGTCTCACTCCCTACTCGTCAAATGTCTGACGCATGGTCAAGGCCCTTTCTCGTCGCTTTTTAAAGACTTGGGTAGCCCTTTTGCATCAATTATTGACGTTTAGGGATCCACAGTCAAGTTAGCAATGCTAACTTACACTTTCAAGATAAAACATAACATTTCGATACATTGCCATGTTGAAACGCGCATAATTAAAGTTGTGAAATGTTGCAGTTTCGTTAGGTTTAGGCACAGAAAGTACTTGGTTGGGTTTAGGCAACAAAACTACTTGGTTAAGGTTAGGAAAAGATCATGGTTTGGGTTAAAATAGCTATGTATGTCAATTAAGACTTAAGTTAACTAATGTTAATGTCAATTTACCTCACTCGCCTAAATAAAAACATTTAATGTTTTGTTTCGCACGGGACACAAACCCTGTTCTCCTGCTTCAAGGTCCGGGTTCTGGCCCTCTATCCACCCCAATCACCTCCTTACTTCGTCTTTTCTCTTAAATATCATACTTGCCTTTACCATCAAAAACTGACACAACAGGGCTTCCCTCAGTACGTCGAACTATGACGTCAAAGGGATCCCTAGTGCGTCACAAACTGACGATTATGGCTCTTGACCAAGCGTCCATATGTGACGACTTGGGAGTGAGACCGGGTTGTGATGACTTCCTTCCATGCTAGTATCCATCAGGGGTGTATTTGACTTACTACAAAAACAAACACAGCAGTCTTCTGACCACAACTCAAAACAGCCAACCATGCAATAGAGGCTTTAAACATGGCCCAAACTCAAAATATAAACTTCAAAGAAGTGGCTATCACCATTTGTTCTGACCTTTGGGCTGTGCGTACTCTCAATTCACTCCACGTGCACATGGTGATCCTCAAACGAGTGTCCTTTATCCTTCAGATGTAAATAAACTGCTGAGTCTTGACCTGAGGAGTTGGCCCTTGTGTAGTTGTTGTTTAGTTCCCCCAATGTACAGTTCTGTGCATTCCTCACTGCATTGGATCGCATACACTAGATTGCTTTTCTTGTGTTTGGGTGTGCGGTCTTTGGGGTGTACCAGTATCTGTCTTAGCGTGTTCTTGGGTTTAAAAACACAGGGATGTGGTGTTTGTTGAAAATCCTCCTGAGTTTCTCTGACACTCCAGACACATATGGAATCACAATGTTGTTGCGTTTCACCTTTTTCTCCTTATCCCCTGTAGTTTTGGTCTTCTTCATGGACTTTGTGGCTGTTTTCACAAATGTCCATTTAGGTTATCCACAGGCTGTAAGTGCTCCCTTCAGGTGAATCTGTTCCTTCTCTCTGGCTTTTGCACTTGTTGGTATGTTGTCCGATCTGTGGTGCAGGGTTCTGATGACTCCTAGCTTGTGTTCCAGTGGGTGGTGGGAATCGAAGAGTAGGTATTGGTCTGTGTGTGTGGGTTTCCTGTAAACTCCAATTTACAGTCCCCTTCAATGTGTACAGCACAGTCCAGGAAATCTATACTGTTGTTGTGGACATCTTCTCGTGTGAACTTGATGTTACTGTCCATGGAGTTGATGTGTTCTGTGAAGGCTTGCACTTCTTGGGTTTTAATTTTGACCCAAGTGTCATCCACATACCTGTACCAGTGGCTTGGTACAATAGGTGACACTGGTGAGCCGTGGCACAGCCATGCTTTTGTCTGTAGAATCCTCCGTTGTATTGGAAATAGGTTAGATTCCATCGGCTTCTCTCAGAGTGTTCATGAACCGACTCACTGTTTTAACCACACCCTTGACCTTGTTTTGGTGTATGGTATTGAAATTGAACATTTAGTGGTGTTCCCACAGAATCCCTCTTTATCCGACCACTGTTTGATAACTTTTGAGTTTGTATTGCTGAACTACTCGCCATTGGGCAAAAATTTCTATACAAGATGTCTGTCTGATAGTGCTATAGCTAAATTTAAGGATGCGATTCCATCAGCTCTAAATACATTATCTAGTCACAAAGTAACGGAGGACTCCTATGCTAATTTCAGTCCCTCCCAAATCGATCATCTTGTTGATAGTGCTGCTGGCTCGCTGCGAATGACACTCGACTCTGTAGCCCCTCTAAAAAGAAAATACTAAAACAAAGACGGTTAGCTCCATGGTATAATACTGAAACTCGCAAATTAAAGCAAATATCACGGAAACTTGAGAGGAATTAGCGTTCCACCAAAGTGGAAAATTCTCGTTTAATTTGGCAAGATAGTCTTAAAACTTATAGGAAGGCCCTCCGTAATGCCAGAGCAGCGTACTACTCGTCATTAATAGAGGAAAATAGGAACAACCCCAGGTTTCTTTTCAGCACTGTAGCCAGGCTGACAGAGAGTCACAGCTCTATTGAGCCAAGTATTCCCATAGCTCTCAGTAGTTACGACTTCATGAGCTTCTTTAATGATAAAATTCTAGCTATTAGAGACAAAATTCACCAAGACCTGCCCTCAACTGGCACCGACTTATCTCTAAACTCAGGAACCTTAGAAACAGCTGTAGAACCAGATACATGTTTAGACTGTTTTGCTTCCCTCAATCTTTACCAACTAACTTCAATAATTTCTTCATCTAAACCATCAACCTGCCTCTTAGACCCCATCCCGACTAGGCTGCTTAAAGATGTTTTACCCTTAGTCAGCACCTCTATACTAGATATGATCAATCTATCTTTATCAACAGGCTATGTACCACAGTACTTTAAAGTAGCTGTAATTAAACCTCTTCTGAAAAAGCCCAAACTTGATCCGGATGTTTTATCAAACTATAGACCTATATCTAACCTTCCATTTCTCTCTAAGGTTCTGGAGAAAGCAGTTGCTAAACAGCTGTGTGACTTTCTACAGAGCAATAGTTTATTTGAGGATTTTCAGTCAGGATTTAGAGCTCATCATAGCACAGAGACAGCACTGGTGAAAATTACTAATGACCTCCTTATTGCATCAGACAAAGGACTTGTCTCTGTACTGGTTTTATTAGATCTTAGTGCTGCATTTGATACCATTGACCATCAGATCCTATTGCAGAGACTGGAATATTTCATTGGCATTAAAGGAACCGCTCTAAGCTGGTTTAAGTCCTATTTATCAGATCGATTTCAGTTTGTACATGTTAACGATGAGTCCTCCATGCACGCCAAAGTTACTCATGGAGTTCCTCAAGGATCTGTCCTTGGACCAATCCTCTTCACTTTATATATGCTTCCTTTAGGCAATATTATCAGGAAACATTCCATAAGCTTTCATTGTTATGCAGATGATACTCAGTTATATCTATCGATCAAGCCAGATGAAACTCATCAGTTAGCTAAACTTCAAATGTGCCTTCAGGATGTTAAAACCTGGATGAGCTGTAATTTTCTTATGTTAAACTCAGATAAAACTGAAGTTATTGTTCTGGGGCCTAAGCACCTCCGTGACGCATTATCTAAAGATATAGTTTCCCTGGATGGCATCGCCTTGGCCTCCAGCACCACTGTGAGGAATCTTGGAGTTATCTTTGATCAGGACATGTCGTTTAAGTCCCACATTAAGCAAATTTCAAGGACCGCCTTTTTTCACCTACGTAATATTGCGAAAATCAGGAACATCCTGTCTAAAAATGATGCAGAAAAACTAGTCCATGCATTTGTTACTTCTAGGCTGGATTACTGCAATTCCTTATTATCAGGCTGCTCGAAAAAGTCCATTAAGACTCTTCAGCTGATCCAGAATGCTGCAGCACGTGTTCTGACAGGAACCAGGAAAAGAGATCACATTTCTCCTGTTTTAGCTTCTTTGCATTGGCTTCCAGTAAAATCCAGAATAGAATTTAAAATCATTCTTCTTACCTACAAAGCTCTTAATGGTCAGGCACCATCTTATCTTAAAGAGCTCATAGTACCTTACTACCCCACCAGAGCACTGCGCTCCCAGAATGCAGGGTTACTTGTGGTT